CCCTCCCCCTCCCCCTTCCCCTTCCCCTCCCCACCTCACACCTCACACCTAACTCTAACGCTAACATCCCTTCAGTGGTCCGACCCCTCGATCGTCTGGCTCTCCTCCCTCATCTGGGGCGAGATCTACGTGCGCTGCATGAGCCCGCTCGGCATCTGGAACGGGACGAACGTCCGGCTGTTCTACGTCAAGCACGCGCAGAACCAGAGCCGGCAGATCACGGAGGCCGTTACGAGTGTCGTGGGCGGGCTGTTGGGGAGGGCTGCGCCGGAGAGTCCGCAGATGCGGCGGGCGCCGTCGGCGAGGGGATGAAAGTTGGTCGAGGCGAACGACTTGAAGGACTGTGTACATGCCGGATATGGGTATTTATTGTATCAGTATATGGACATCCCATCGTGGACGTGGGCACACTTGAGTACTTGCTATACGCGATTGCGGTCCTCCAGTTCCAAGACATCAGAGCTCAGATGACAAGGTGTTGCACATCTTCTATCATAAGGACATCTTGCAGACGCGTTGTAGTGCGTTGTGTATCCCTGGAGGTCCAGACGCGGCGTACAGTCACGACGCGACGCGTCTTGTTACTTATCGGAAGAGACCACCGTCTCGCGTTCCGCTGAGGGCGGGCCAGAGCGTGGGCGGGTTCTGCTTGGGAAGCTCGCGTTTGAGGTGCCGGCTCGTTATGAGTTTGGGGTGAAGGGCCGGCAGAAGGTTAGGGTTAGGGTTGGGGAGAGGTCGCCGTGGAGCCTGACGGAGAAGGAGAATTAGGATCCACGGACACGCTATCGATAGGTTTGTGTGGGGAACGTTCAACGCGGACACGAATGGTCTACGAGGACGGCTCAACCCGGACTTGCTATGCGAGATTATCGCACGGGCTACGCCCGGTGATCTTGATTCGGGATTGGCATGTAAGCAGCAAGAGTTACAATCATATGGGCATTAGTATGGCATATACAGACTTGAACATGACACAAGCAATAGGAACATGATAGTAAGCCGGAGGTGATACAAGAGGAGAAGCAGGAGTACAATGGGATGCAGCCATGTGATGATGAGGTCTATAGGTTGTGGGAGATGTGTAGGTGATACAAGCAGAGAAGGAGAAGAATACACGCAGCAGGAAATGATAGGGGAGGAGAAGCGCGCACGGCAAGGAATGCCATTGTCCATTGTCCATTGTCCGGACTCCGTGCGATGTCCGATCGGAAGGGCGCACAGCACGATACGATGTCGCCCCGAACCGCTCAGCTCGCCGTCATGATCGCGGCAGCCGACTCCGAGCTCGAGTCGAGTCTGTGGATATGCGAGATGAGTCTACGAAATCCGAATGACCGGGATACGCACACATCGGGGACAGGGTTCGCCCGTCAACGTCTGCCACGGGAGAATGCCTCGTACAGCGGCAACACACCGTACGCGATCGCGTACACAAGTGCCACTGCCATGACCGCCACCACGACGAACTTCACAGGGCTCGCACTGAGCCCCTCAACAAAACCGGTGGCGGTTGTAAAGAGCGCCACGAGGAAGCTGCAGATGACAACAATGGCATCACTGGCGGCAGTAATGGCGACATTGATTGCATAGCTGGCAGCACCAAGGAGCACCACGAGGAAGCGGGCAAAGGCAGCACGGACGTCGGTGTCTCTGCGTGTGCGGGGAGCCTCTGCGGACGTGGCGCGTTCGCGGGGTGCTACAGCCAGCGGGTGAGCATGTCGACAGCACACTGGGTGGAAATTAAAATGCTCATACCATCTGGTGGGTCCACGGCCTCCTGAGGCGGGTGTCCGGACGTGGATGGAAGCGTGGGGTACGGAGGCAGCTGGGCGTCGTAGAGTGGCAGCGGTTCGTAGCCTTCTTTTGTAGGGGTCGTCATGATGATTGAGAGGACGAGGTGACAGTCGAAGACAAGCACACGACGAACGGGTTCATCGGCATGTCCCAGAGCCCCTATGCCCGTCCACACTAGGGGTCGGCCTGTATCCGTTCACGAAGTCGACCCCTATCGGCCGAAGTTTCAGAAACGCACAAGACCGCACGAGCGAGCGATATGGCAGTGCTCTCGAGCGGCGAGCACCATGCCATACATAAGTAGAGTGTGTCAACCTGAGATGGCATGAGTACCGGCACATAACGTTGAGCGAGCGTCTGACATACGCATGACTGCGACGACGCGGGCGGAGTTACAGGCCGTTGATATTGGCTCGATGGATAGGTGAGGCGCGGCGATGTCGTGGCCGAGCGAGCGAGACGCTAGATGGCGATTCAGTTAGCAGCAGTTCACAGCGGGCACCGCAAGACGGCGTACACAATCACGGATAGCGGCACAACCCAAGCCATCGTCGACACGACGGGGCGCGGAGCGCAGGACCAGTGGTAGGCAGCAGCAGACGTACAGCGAAGATGGAGACGGCTACATAGCGGAGGAGCACTAGGTGAGGGCGCGAGGCAAGAGAGGTATCGACAGTTGACGCGTTGTCGTGCCTTGTGTGCCCTCGGAGGTCCAGACGCGTCCAGTCACGGCCCACACGCGACGCGTCTTGTTGGAATAGACCACCATCTCGCGTCGCGTTCCGTGCCTCCGCTCAACATCACATTCTTGGTCTTATACATCTACCACAAACTAAACAAGCGTCTATCCTATCGTCACACGTAATCAATCAACCCCCCTTCCTGCCCTTTGGCACCATGAACGCGCACAAGGAATCGAAGCAGGCGCGTATAATCAACGCCATGCTCCCCCCGGTGAGCCCACCTTCCAATATGCGCTCTTATCCTGAAATCCGACCTCACATGCCACATCCAGCCCAGAACGGGCAACGCCGCCACTCGCCGGCCCGCCACCCCCGTACGCACCAGCTCGCCTCGCAGCCACCCCGCGCCCGTCGCTGACGCCCCTCCCCAGCCTCAGCCCGAAATCATCGACCTGATCAGCTCCGACGAAGAAGACGAAGCGCAGCCGGCTCCTACAGCTCAAGCGCGCACCGCCCCGCTCCGCACAACGTCCGCGCCCTCCGCGCTCCCCCTCGCCTCCACCCAACCCACACGCACAGTCCCAGTCCCCCCGCCCGCCGTGCTCCCGCTGAACCGCACCTACTCCCAGCCCGCCGGCCCCTCCACGCGCTCAGAAGCTCTAGGTCAAGAACGCTACTCTCTCCGGCGCACGCGTAAACCACTCGAGCAGGAGGAGAGGAGAGCGAGGCGCAGGCCTACGCGGGCCGAGCTCGAGAGGGCCTGGTCCGACGCCGCGGCGAGGGAGGGCGCGCGCGGGATTAGGATCGTCAATGAGGTCGACGACGAGGATATTCCCAATGTACCGGACGACTTTGAGTGGCTGGAGCGAAAGTACCAGTAGTGCGTCCCCTCCCCCAATTTCCCTCATCGTCGCGTTATTGAACGAGATGGGATGGGATCTAGCCCGGGCGACTACGAATCGCACGAGTCCGACCGCCGCCAGCCGTGTACGTGCTTCGGGCCGTGCAGCGCGCTGTCCCGCTGCGACTGCTTCGATCTGTCGGACCTGGGCCCGTTCGGGCAGAGCGTGGCCGCGTATACGAAGAGCGTGCGTGCACATACACTCATCCGAAGCGCGTATTGGACTGAGAATGTTTGATCAGGGATACCTCCAGGACGGCCTCGCATCGTCGCCCCTCCCGTTCCTCGTACACGAATGCACCGACGTCCGTCCCCTCCCTCTCCCCCCTCCCCCCTCCCTCTCCATCCTTCTTCTCCATCCTATCCACACAGCTGATACGCGATTCTACATCCCACAGCGCTGCAGCTGCGCGCCGCACTGCCGCAACCGCCTCGCCCAATCCCCGCGCGACGTCCCGCTCGAGATCTTCAAGACGGCCGCGTGCGGCTGGGGCGTGCGCGCGCCGGTCGATCTGCCGGGGGGCAAGGTGCTGGGCATATACACCGGGTGCGTCTCCCCTCTCCCTCCACTCTTTCCTCTAGTCCACGGGAGTTGATGCGTACCGCCAGGGACCTCTCGTACGACCAAACGCCTTGAGCAGCGCTAAGAGACATGTGCTGATAGAGCTGCAGACGACGCGACGAATCCGACGACGAAGAAGACTACGACGGCCACTCCTCGCGCGACCCGTCCTCCGACGGCGCCGACACGTTCGACGGCGAGGGGAGCGGCGACAGCGACAGCGACGCCGAGCCCCGCGCAAAGCCGCCGAAGAAACAAAGGTTGTCGCGAAGCGAGGAGAAGCAGCTGCGCGAGAGCTACGAGTTTTTCCTGGACTGGGACGACGCGAGCACGTGGCTTGTGGGCGCGTATCAGCGCGGTGCGTCTTCACGCGTGAATCTTTCGACGCGTTTTGTTGATTGAGTACTGGTGCAGGCAACTGGACGCGGTTTATTAAGTGAGATTTACGCGTTCTCGTGCTAGAATATGTGGAGCGCTGACACTGGTGATATATAGCCACTGCTGCGAGCCGAACCTCCGCGTCTACAGCATGACGTGCGAAACCGATCCCAAAGCCACCGTACGCCCCTCCCTCCGCCTCCCCTCCCTCTCCCTCTCCCCTTCCCTCCTCCTCTCCCTCACCTTCTCTAATCGCTGATGATCTCTCATCACTAGCACCTGCCCTCCTACCTCGTCTTCGCGACCAAAACCCCCATCCCGGCCGGCCGCGAGCTCACGTTCGACTACGACCCGCGCTACGCCGACCAGGAGGCCGTCAGCGTTCCGCGGAAGAAGCGGGCGATGATGCGCGAGGGGTGCCGGTGTGGGGCGGGGGCGCGGTGTCGGGGGTTTATGCGGCTGCCTGTGTGATCTGCTGTCGACTTATCATATATCACACTTCTAGTTGATAACCGGATGCATCGTTGTCTTTCATCGGGTATGTTGAGATATGTGTGAAGTGTGAGGACGGCCGGCCGTATGAGAGGTGCGATTGCAAATCGACCGTATGTACGTATGTACTCGGAAAACAACCATATAAGTAGACTAAGACGAAAACACAGAGCGTCGTAAACGTTAGACGTCAAAAGATAACTGAGATCCGAAAGCATGGGGATAGCATATACAAGAGCGAAGATTCAACGTTGTGTGTGTGTGTGTGGAGGGGGCTGCAGCCGGTGCAGACTCGGAGTTCAGATGAGGTCAGATGAGGTATCGGGGTAGAGATAGAGATAGATATCCGGGAATAGGTGTAGGAGTAGGAGTAGGAGTAGGTGAAGCGATGAGGTGTACGAGGGAGAGAAGAGTGGATGTGAGGTGACATGCTTAACAACTGAGATCGAACCTATCAACATCAAACGACAGATTCTCGAAATGCAGCGAGTCCAGCCGCCTATCGCACAACCATCAGCCCAACCCTCCTCACGCACACAACACAAAACAAAAAACGTACATCTCAAAGCTCACGTCCCCCATCCCCTCGTCCTCGTCGAAATCAGGTTTCGGCGCCTCCGGCTCCCCATTGCCCACGATGAAAGATGGTATAGACGGAATACTGAAGTCCAGCTCCTCATCAATAGGTGTGGCGGGCGCATCGTCGTCCATATCGGGCGACGGGGCCGTGTCGTTCGTATATGCGGGCGAAGTCGGACGCGAGGGCGGAGAGGTGGGCTGCACGGGGTTTGGGGAGGGCTGTGCGAATATGGACTGGAGCTTGACGAATGAAAGACGACGCCGGGCGGCTTTTGTCGATGCGGTCGGTGAGCGCGGCTCGTCGAGGCTGGCGTGGAGAGTTGTTGAGGAGGTCGTCGAGTCGTGCGCTGAGACCGAAGCCGAAGTGGCCGAAGTAGTAGTGGAAGTGTTCGGTTCGGATGGGGAGGTGACGGCGGGTTCGTCCGGCGCTGGCGCAGGCGATGGAACGGGAGCGGCGTTGTTGAAGCTGAAGAACTGCGATATAGGCCTCGACAGCCTCTTCGCCGACTTCGCCCGACGCAACCCCGGCCCACCATCCTCCCCCGCCGTCGCCATCACCACCGACTCAACATCCTTCGCTGCCACCGGCGCAGCGTTCTCCTTGACCACCACACCCCCCTTACGCACACCATTCTTCCCTCTAATACCCCTCAGCGCCATCGTCGCGCGCGCCTTAAGCCCGCCCTTCTTGTTCTTCGGCGGCGGCGCGCGGCCCTGCGTGATATCCGCCATCGTCCGGCCGCGCGGCACCTTCATAATCTCCACGCTCACGTCCATCTCGTCGCCCGCTCTCTCTCTCTTCTGCCCTTCGAACGCGAACGGGTCGGGGTCGTCGGGCGTGTAGTCCCATTGAGCGGCGGGGCGCGGGCGGTGCGTCGACCGGCGGCGCTGTTGCTGTTGCTGCTGTTGAGATGTAGATGCGGGCTGAGAGGAGTGGGACGAGAAGAATATGGGCGCGGCGCTCGAGATCGTCTGCTGCCAGAGCCCCAGGCGCGACTCGATGGTCGTCGCGCTGTTGGCCGCGGCGGTGTGTGCTGCGGCCGCGTCGAACACGAGACGCGGGCCGTCGTGCTGCAGGTCGTCGTCGGGCGGGTGCAGTATCACGTCTGGCATCGTGTAATCCGAAGGTTGAGTGGGAGACGGAGTGGGCTCGTCGAAGGAGTGGGACGCGGGCATGGCGCGGTTGTCGTAAGGAATGTAGATGTATGCTTTCGTCAGAGGAGTCCTAGTCGAAGCTCGAGTGGTATCGGTAAACGAAACGACAGTATCAGAGAACGCTGCTCGTAGCAGCGACGTGCATGGGCTGAGGCAACCGTGGCTCTGACGAAGCCACTGCCAGATCAAATCTCATTTCGAACTTGAGCGTGACCTCCCGCGCGGACGCGCGCGGCTTTATGGTTGCTCCCGCTCCCGGCCGCGCTCTTATCGCGCCAATGTCCTTCGACCGACCATCCCGACGTGCCTTCCTAGCGCGTACCGTCGCAGTACGCCATCGAATTCATCGAATCGAATGACTCGCACTCCCCTCTGTCCGATACCACCATGAGCATGGAGAAGAAGACCACGGGCGCCTATCAATGGGACGCCGCGGCGCCTATCTTCTCGAAGCCCGACGTCAAAGTCCACTCACAGTCAAAGTGGTCGCACCTTCTGCGCCTCTCCTTAGCGGCCTGCATCATCGGCACCGCCTACTACGCCTACACCGCCTCTCCCCTCTCCTGCCACGATGGACCTCAGAAGCTCGATCTGCCGGCCGCATCGAGCGCCTCGGAGCCGCTGTGTCCGCAGAGCGCGCTGCTGTATCCGCATGTGCACAAGGCGTACGCCGAGGCGCTCGATAGCGCGTTGAAGGACGACGAGACGAAGTCGTGGGTGCTGGGCAATCTCATCGGTGCTGTGCAGGTCCCGTGAGCTCTTCTACTGTCTACCTTCGCTTCGCAGCGCGATGTTCAATAGGAGTTTATAGGACGGAGGGCTTCGACGACATGCGCCCGCCCGGCTCGGACGACCGCTGGCTCACATTCGGCGCCTTCCACGCCTACCTCGCCCAGCGCTTCCCCCTCGTGTACGTCTTCACATCCCACGCATATACGCATTCCGACTCACTCTGTCGTTGGTTCACAGGCACTCGAAGCTGCAGGTGACGAAAGTAAACACCTACGCGCTGACGTACCACTGGCAGGGCTCGAACGCGGGCCTGAAGCCTATCTTGCTCATGGGCCACATGGGTGCGCACTCGACTCCATCTCGCTCCTCCGGGCGGGGCGCTGGCTGATGGGGGTATGGGGGTGTGCAGATACTGTGCCCGTGCTGCCGGATACGGTCAAAGACTGGCTGCACCCGCCCTTCTCGGGCGACTTTGACGGTGCGCGCCGCATCCCCTCTGACAGGCGACTAAACTCTGACAAGTCGGCGCGCGGATAGGCGAGTGGATCTGGGGCCGCGGGAGCTGCGACGACAAGTCGGGGACCATCGGTACACTGTGCGTGCATCCGTCACGCAGAAAGCGTAGCCTGCTAAGTGTTGGATAGGACGGCGATCGAGATGCTGCTCCAAAAGGGCTTCCAGCCCGCTCGCACGGTCGTGCTGGCGTACGGCACAGACGAGGAGAGCGGCGGCACATACGTGCGTACACCATCAATGGCTGTAGACGAACATGGCTGATCATCAGTCATCGCACAGGGCGCGGGCGCAATCGCAGAGTACATGCTCGAGCGCTACGGCACCGACGCGTTCGCCTTCCTCGTCGACGAAGGCGGTCCGCCCAATCCCTCCATCTCTCTCTGCATTCTCGCGCTGATAGCCCTCGTACACAGGCCGCAACGAGGCGCGCGGCGACCTCATCATCGCGAGCCCGAGCACGGCCGAGAAGGGGCTCATAGACGTGCAGATCGAGGTGCTGACGACGGGCGGGCACTCGAGCGTCCCGCCGCCGCACACCGTACGCCCTCCCCCCTCCCCACCCTACTCCATACATCATACTGATACTGCATTCGCCACAGGGCATCGGCTACCTCTCGCGCCTCATCACCGCCCTCGAATCGCACCCCTTCCCCCTCTCCCTCACGCGCTCCGGCACATTCTTCGCGCGCCTCTCCTGCGCCGCCGCGCACGACCCCACGCTCGACGCCGAGCGGCGCGAGCTGATCAAGCTCGCCGCCTCCGACGACCTCGCGCTCGGTATTCTGCACGAGAAGATGCTAGCGGAGGACCCAAGAGGGTACGCGGCGATGACGGGCACGTCGAGCGCGGTGGATCTGGTGGGCGGCGGGGTGAAGGTTAATGCGCTGCCTGAGCGGTGCGTCCCCCTCTGTTCACAATATACTATACGCGCTCACTGGCGAATGTGCAGGGTCTGGGCTGTTGTTGATCATCGGATCGCGGACTGGAGGTGCGCCCTCTCGAACTCTCCCTCTCTCTCTTTCGCCCGCTGATGACTTGCCTCCCCCTCCTATTAGCTCCGTACAAGCCGTCAAACAACACTACCTCGCCCTCCTCCCGCCCCTCGCCCGCACGCTCAACCTCTCCCTCACCGCCTTCAACACCACCATAATCCCCCCGACCAACGCTTCGGCCGGCCACGTGAACATCGCGCCCATATACAGCGCCCCGCTCGAGCCCGCGCCCGTGACGCCCACGTTCGGGAACGCGCCGTGGGCGCTGCTGGCTGGGACGATAAGGGGGACGCTGGGGAGCGCGCTGAGGGGCGATTATGGGGGCGGGCGGGAGAGCGTTGTCACTCCGGTACGTTCTCTCGACTTGGGTGCGGTTGATTGAGGGCGGTGGTGCTGATGCGCGTTGTGTGTTGTGGGGTGTAGGGCATGCCGACGGGGAACACGGACACAAAGTCGTACTGGGCGCTCACGCGGCATATCTTCCGGTACAACCACATCGAGGCGCGCGATCTGTACAACGGGGCGCACACGATCAACGAGGTGTGTCTCTCCCCCTCCCTTCTCAGACCCTCCTCGATACTGATAATGAGCTGTAGCGATACGCGCGGAGGCGTTCGTCGAGATGGTGAGTCGACGTCGCGCTGTAGTTGAAGACGATGGAGATGGTGTGGCTGATTATATTGGGTGCGATAGGTCAGGTTCTACGCGACGCTCGTGCTCAATGCGGACGAGACGACCACGCTCTGATCGACTCAACCCGAATCAACGTTGTCTATTATTACCTAAGTATCCTTGCACACGGGTATCGTACCCCTATGTACGCAGCGCAAATGTCCTATTCCAAACCCAAAAGAAACGAAACTCTGCTGTCCTTTCCTGTCACAAAGGCCAATGTCCGCCACACATAGCCGCGACGGTCTCACGCGTGGCTCGTGTAGCCAGAGTAGTGCAGCCAGTCGTTGAAGTTAAGGTACGGAACGCCCTCTTCCGCGCTAAAGTTCGTCCACGCAAAGATCGGCGCGAGGTAGTGCTGCACAAAGTACCCGCTGTCCCTACACACCCCAGTCAGCACTCCCTCTCACCATCTTCACATCTCAAAACACATAGTATGACGTACGGAGGATACGTCGCCAGCCCGGCCCCACTAATCGCCCCATACACAAGGTCGACAAAGTTCTGCTCGCTCACGGGACACCCGTCCGGCGCATACGCGCACCCCCCGACGATCGCGGCGTACACGCCGTAGTCGAGGCTCCCGAACTGCGCCGGGGAGGGCACGGTGGCGTTCGTGAAGCAGTACGCGTAGTCGTTGAGCTGCTCGATCTGTCATGAAGGGCCGGCCCTCGTCAGATCGCGCGTCACCAAATCAGAGGAGATTAATATTGCTTACGCCTGCGGCGACGCCGGCTGCGACGCAGAGCTTCGAGCTCCAGAGGCCGCTCTTGTCGTCGCTCGGCAGGCTGTTCAAGCACGCATCGGCCTACGTGAGCTCTCATCAACGACGCTGTTTCCCTACGCAAGCGTGCTCGCCAAGTCTAGCACGCACCAGAGGTTGAACGAACGCTTGATCAGCGGCAACCGCATGAATGCCATTATAGCACTGAGCGGTAATTGCTTGTACAGCAGGAGCCGTCACGCTCAAGACGAAGGCGAAGGCGCTGATGGCGGTGCGCATAGGACCAGTGATGCTTCGAGTGTTATTAGGATGAGATAGTTGACGTTGAACACGAGAGCCTCTCAGCCGGGCGCGAGCTGCATTCTTTATACCGTCGCCGGCGCCTACGACTGTATAGACGGCGGGATCCGTTGAATAGGCGCCGTGTCCTGCGAACGATCGTGCGATGGGCAAGGCGACATCAGGCCGCGCCGAAGCGCCTGGCCATACTCACATCGCACACGATTCGGGCTTCCCCATACAAGACCAAGGGGCTGTGCTGAATGCCCAATGCGTAAAGCCCATGGGTTGTATTCTCGAGCCATCTGGGCAATTCACGCCTCGCGTAGGTAAGAGACCGAGGAAAGGCACGACGTCGGAGTTGCATTGCCGACCGAACTGTACGAGAATACAAAAGGACAGCCTTAAAACCGATAAGAAAGAAGAACACGAAGGTGAAGTGTGAACAGGGAGAAAGAACATCAAATAATGCACGCAGACGGGACGAGACGGGCTGAACAGAAATGGCTTGGGGGTAGCGAGTCTACTGGACGTGGTAGTGGTTCGCGTAACCGGACAAGTGCAGCCACTGGTTGAACCCGTCGTAGCTGATCGATTCGATCGGGTCGACGCCGAGGTACGCGAATATGCTGTTGACGTAGTACGTCGCGAGCGAGTCCCTCGAGCTGCAATCGCAGTGATTAGCGCGAGCCAGGAGAAAAGGGGGGAAGGAGAGCTCACTCGGGGTACGTCGACAGCTTCTTCGCCGCGATCTCCGAGTACACAAAGTTCACGAGGTCCGCGGACGTCGCGTTGTCCTGCCCGCCGGTGATCACGCTCCAGACGTTCGTGTCGAGGTCGGGCTCCTGCGCGGGGAGGGGGATGGTCAGGTTCGTGTAGCAGTCGGCGAAGTCGAGGAGTTGTGTGACCTGCGTGGTAGGTGTCAGCGAGGGATCACTTGGCACGCGGGGAAAGACGTACGCCAGATCCGATGACCGCTGCGACGCAGATCGATGTGTTCCAGAAGCTGTTGCCGTCTGGGACGTCGTTGCAGCACTCGCGCGCCTAGTCATCGGTGTCAACACGAAGTATCAATGACCTTGAGCGATGGACGTACCACAGGGAAAACGAATGGACTCTGGACCTCAACATCATGCACGCCCTGCACGCACAACCCAGAAGGAGCGCGCTTAGAGGGAGCGGCGGCGACGCCCAAAAGCGAAGACGCAGCAGCAAGTACGGTCGTGAACAGCATCGTGAACGGTCAAAGAAAAGGGGGTCGTAAGAAAGAAAAGAAGAAGATAAAAAAACTAAGAGAAGAGAAGATGAAAAGGGTAAGGTAGCGCCCGTACGCAAGCTACAAGGCGAGAAAAAAAGATTAAAAGGCTGTCGGATCGTAAAGGACGCCAACACGGACATGCGGGGTCTTATAGCACCAGTATGCTGTGGCCGCGCTGCGGGTATGTCACCAAGCCCGGGTTCAGCAGGGGTGGGAGGCGGAGGGCGATCATGGTCGTGGCGGCGTCGACTTCGGGCGCGCCCCATGCCGTATGTGGCGCAGTGTGATGGCCTTGAGCGAGGAAATGCGTCTCCGGAGTGGGATCGTAGCTCGTGCGGTTCCCAGCTACGACATAGATCACCGAGGTCGCACTTTGCCTGGGCTTCTACGACCACTGTCGCCTCGGTTGATCAAACGCGTCGTATTTCATTCGTTCGCCCGGCCGGCGCCTCGTCTTCTCAAATCCTCTACTGCTCCCAGAGACGCGCCGATCCGTGCGCCCACGCACAGTAGACCCATCGCCGTCTGAGCAATATCGCCGGGCGTGACGGCAACCACAGCTTTACAGCAGGCGGCGACAGCATTATGTACACCAGAGCTTGGCTGAGAATTAAGCGCGGAGGCGACGGCGGCGATTCGGGCTGCGGCCGCGCTGAGTGATGCCAGCCACGCCCGCGACTTTGTTTCAAAATTCCCGTATTTCAAGACATGTAGTAGATGTAGCACAACAAGATCTTCGTTCAGGGAAGACAGGAGGACACATAACAGGGAGAGATGAGGGCTAGATGAGCGTCTGAAGGGAGTCGAACTCGACTGTGCCCATTCGCGCTGGCTTCGGCGCCACGCGCGCAGTCCGGATCAGCGGCGACTTGTGAGCACGAGGCTCACATGGGAAGATGATGCATGTAACTTTCGTCCTTCGGGACTAAGTACGTGCTCGACGTTACGGCTGACCCTTGTCAGGTCCTATGAAAGTGCTTTGAAACCACACGTCTCAGCTCTCACAAAAAAGTTGTCGCGTATTTCCTCATAATACGTACTCGGAGGGTTGCTTGCGCTTGCGAATTCACTCGTTCAATGGATTCGAGACAAAGACTTCTTGCAAGTGTGTATGACAATTGTACAATGAAACCCAAACAGGACCGGCAACCCGCAGAATATGATACGTGAATAACATGGAGCCCCTACAGAACCTGGAAGTGGTTCGCGTAGCCAGAGTTGTGCAACCAGCTATTGAACCCATCGTAGCTGATGGTCGTCGCGAAACCCTGGTGCAAGAAGTTGAAGATGTTGTTGACGTAGTAAGACGCGAACTCGGCTTGAGAGCTAAACGCAACGCTGTAAGCGAGCGCGTACATCAAGAGAAGTGCAAAGACGTACTCGGGAACGGTCAATAACTCTTTGTCTGCGAGCTCGTCGTAGAAGAAGTCGACGAAGTCTTGTTGGGTTGCACCATCCTTCCCCTTCGTAATCGTGCTGAAGATGGTCTGGTCGAGGGGTCCGAGTGCGCCGGGAAGTGGTACCGTCAAGTTGGTGTAGCAAGCGCCGAAGTCGGTTAACTGGGTAATCTGAAGGTGGGGCCATGTCAATCAGAGCGGTACAGCGGACAGATAAGAACACGTACACCAGTGGCAATGCCTGCAGCAACGCAGATAGAGGTGTTCCAGAAGCTGTTGCCATCGGGCACGTCGTTGAGGCACTCGCGCGCCTGTGAATAGATGTTTAGACAGCGGCCTCGGGCATCAAGGGTGTCGCACTCACGACGGGGAGAACGAATGGGCGGTCGAGCTCAACCTCGTGAACGCCAAGCACACAGCTGCCAGTGGGGGCAGCCTGACGCTTCGACGGGGCAGCAAACACGCCGATTAGAGAAGTTGCGGTGGCAAGGATGGTCGTGAACAACATCGTGAAAGAAGAAAGAAGAAGAAAAGATGCGAAGAAAGAAAAAAGGTGATAAGAATAGAGAAACTCGCAGAGGCTGCGAGGAAGAAAGAATTAAAAGGCTGTGGGGTGAAGAAAATGAATATCGTCCAAGAGATGCGTCGGGTACTTATACATGAGGGGCTTACCAGAGCGAACAGCCCGCTCGGACCCATACCCACTGCGGCCCGCCCGGGGTAAGCAGGGGTGGGAAATATGCCTCACGCGTCTCGCCGCGCGCCACAGGCTCTGCTGTAAAGCCAGGATTATACAGCCCGAGGCTGGTAAGGCTGGGCAATCAGCGGACGTGGCAAGCTTATCCGCCGGAGAGCGCCCGGCGCCGATTTGCATGGCCGCAAAGAGATGCGTTTGAGGCCGAGTTCAATGAGCAGGCAAGGAGACGCGCGTTCGCGAAGGCTACTTGCGACGACTACGTCCACCCCGCGTAGAGCAGATGCAAGGAGCTCGTTGAGCATGTTGAGAGTGCGATATTTCTATGCTGCGTCCACGAAGATCAGCAAGAGTAAACAGCAATCGCAGCAGGCCGTAACACTCCCTCGCCGCGCCGCACGCAGCCGCCAGCGTCTTCATGAATGTCCGGCACGCAAACAAAACGCTTTCTTGAACGTCTCATCGAGTAGCATTCAACACAAGCATCTCGAGACACCTTGGAGATCAAGCAGTACTGTGTAGATTCAAAAGACCCCGAATGGTGCTGGTGGTCGGAGACCAAGTTGTCGCGGCACTCGATGACGCGTAGCAGATGACGCGACAGCGCGCCTTGACTTTCCCACCCACCACCATGGCCAAGGGTCCAATTGGACTGAGTTTGGTACCGGCGAGTGCAGAGATCGTTTACTGTGTTACAGTTACGGCAGTATCAAGCTTGGTGGTGAGATACCGCGGGCAGGAAACCCCAGAGGTTACACCATCGAAGTGCAGATGCAAATCGAGATAGGCAACGTTTACTATACATATATTACACGGATACAGGATACTTATGTTAGTACAACACGAGGAAAAATCAGGCATGTACCATAGCTGAAGCGTTGATCTGAACTATGATGTACAGTACGGAGCGATATTGAGAGGAAAGCTAGAGGCACGATACAGAACTCGAGAAGAAACACGAACTCGAGGTTGGATGAAGTCTCCATCACAGAACGTAGCTATAAACTATTCAGTATGGCGTCAAGACAGAGAAGGCCAGCGACCAACCGGAAGAGAGGGCTCTTATCGCCCATGTCCGCGAACTCGGCCGCCATATCCAAAGTGATACCTTCGCGACGGCAGTACTCCTCCTTCTGCTTGTTCAGCCGATCATACGCGTACATGAGAGCGCAACAGCAGATGACGGAAAATCCGAGGAATCCGAGCATCGTACCGTGTCCGTGGTGATAGTGGGGTGGGTCGTAGTAGATGAACGAAGAGCAGATGCCGCCTAAGTTCGAGATGCCGATGACCATCGCTATCACGACGCCGCGCTTGAGGTCACCGCCCGCATTCCCGCCCGCCCATGCGAGAGCGACCGCAATGACTGGGTATACACCTATGGTCGCAATGAACACGGCGGCGTACCCTGGTCCCGGAGCGGATGTTGTATAAGCGACGATGAACCCGATGGTAGCGATGAGGGCGCCAGCAAGGCAGAAGACGCCTCGTCGCTGGATGTGGTCCGAGTACATGCCGGCAATGATGGTGAGAGCGCAACCCGCGACAAAGGGTGGGATCGTGAGCAGCTGAGCGTTCGCGTCGGTGAAGCCAAGCTCGGCGATGATCGATGGCATGAAGAGCGCCACGGCAAAGACAGGCACAAGGACACCGATGTACATGCCCACTTGCAACCAGCTCTTCCAGTCGAGAAGAGCTTGCCATACAAACTTGGCAGACACTTGCGTCGATTGACCCATCGACTCTGCCTCGAGAGTGCCTACGACGAAGGCGCGCTCTTCCTTAGTCAGGAAAGACGCCGTCGCAGGATACTGTCTCTTGCGTGAGTGGGATTCGTCGTATTAACATGGATGATGGACTCACGTCATGCATGAAGAAGAAAGACAGTGTAGCGAGGAGAACCGTCATCAACCCCTCAAGCAGGAACTGTCCCGAAAGAGTCAGCTTGTAAAAGAGAGGGTCGAGACAGTGTTCCTCACAATCCATTGCCAGCCATGTAGGCCACCGCGGCCATCGAGATGTTCGATGCCATAGGCCAATATGCCGCCGAATGCACCAGCGAGCGAGCCCGAAGAGAAGAACAGCGCAACACGCTTGGCCTGCAGGCGACGCGGATACCACAAGGAGATGTAGTATGTGACCCCAGGAAAGAGGCCCGTCTCGGTCATGCCCAAAATCACGCGCGCGCTATCACTTCTCGTCAGCCTTGGTGTTGGAATAAAGGTAAGAAATGAGTCGTACGCTACCAGGCCCTCGAATGTGTGAACACGACACATGCAGGTCATCACGATACCCCAAGCCACCATGATAGAAGGAATCCAGATTGACGGCCTGAAGATCTTCAAGGCGACGTTTCTGCGCACGGGGTAAGATGATTGAACAAGACAGCGAATAGCAACACCTACGAGGGGATCTCGAGGATGGCGTAAGGGATCTAGAGAAGCCGATGAGCAAGGCAACCATCGCATATAGGTAAGACGTACAAAGAATACGGCGGCGGCAATGTTATACCGAAGCCCTACTAGATCGAGGTCGCGGGCCATACCCGCTACCTTCGCGTTCCCTGTCGGTTCGTTAGCTAAACATGATCAAGAGGTAAGAGACCCGGTGCATACCGATGTTGGCGCGGTCCCTGCGTTAACGGTATCAGTAACGGTGCAGCACCTGTCATAGTATATGATACGTACAGGAAAGAGAACAAATAGAGTAATGATACGAATGGTAGCAAGCGTAGGTCGAGCTTACGCCAGATGCGGCGCTGTTCCGCCTCGCTGAGTGTCGAAACAAACTGGCCCGTCGGTGTTGTCACAACATCAGTCGACCCCTTCAGGCTAAGACTGGCGGCGCTGTATGTTTGAACATGGATAGCGTCACGTCCCAAGACGGGAGCAGACTTCGTTTCGTCGTCGAGGGAGGTAGAGCTCATGCCTGGTTCTGCTGAGCAGCTCGAGTTGTAACAGGAGGTATAGAAGGGGAAAGGGAAGGGGGTGCCGACCCTGCGCCTGCAGCTGCTAGGTTTATATCCCACGGCGCCCATTATAATATCGCCTGGAAAAGCGATGTGCATATTGGGCTCTCTCTACGTACACTCATAGCAAAGCGACTTTGCGCCAACATCCGAGAAGACAATGACAGAAGCGCATATGCTAAGAACGAACATCTGGCGTTCTACCAAGCCAACAGTTGCATAACTGCTCGCTCCATAGCCTCTGCGCCTCGCACTGCGACGCAAGGCGTCGTTACACAAACGCAGCGAAGTCCTGGATCACAGGCGGTCAAGCACCTTTGACAAAAACAGCCAGATGCCTTTGGAGCGGATTGGCGATAATCGGCCCCGCCCACGCAGGGCTCGTTGTATAGGGTCATTCAAATGCGGCGTAAGTGACACGGCGTGGGCGGCCGTAGAGAAGCATTGTCACCGCCTAGCAACCTTTTGGCTGGTCTCCGCCAAGCGCGAACAACGAGTTTGCCCACGACGCTCGCAAATATCAGCGCATACAGGGCCGCGCAGGCCACATGAAGCCGATGCAGGCAGTCTACCATCTCGGAGGAATAAGCTAGACGTGGGACCATCGCTCGGCGTGAGCGCTGATATCAACTTCGTTGCATGTCAGCTTAGAGTAAGCTATATGCGGAGCCGCCGGTTGGTATAGTGGGGAGCCTCGAGGCCGCTCCGTCGTGGTGGCGAGAAGCAAATCGGGTCACAGCGCATTGCCGATGGGCGCGTTTCGGCGGCAATCCCCGGCATCGTTGCTCCATCTCAACCTGGTGCTCAGTTCAGAACTTGACAGCGCCCACATATCTCTGCAGTATATGTATGGGCGCGTATCGCCATTTGGGCAAGCGTGTAGCTGGGAACGCAGTGGACTCGTTCAGCGGCTTAGAGGTAGACCGCGTAACTAGGCCTTGGCCTCCGAAAGGTTCGGAGATTGTATTGATACAGTGTGGTCCAGTGACGACGCCACCACGAAGCTTGGCCCTGTTCAGGTCTGTGTACAACGCCCCTGCACAGCCCTGCACGTACCCACAGGCTTGATGTACCGGTAAGCTACGAGCACGCCGAGCGTGCCGGTGGTATTTGATCCAGTATGGTCGAAAGGGTACCCTCAGTAGGCTTGCTACAAGGAACCGGAATCGCGGGAGGCCGTCAAGCTGCCTAATGAGCTATGGCAGTACCGATTCTCGCGCATATGCGCAGTCTTTCGGATCGGCAAATGGTTTGAAAGCAAACTAATATATGATGAAGAAAAGACCGAAACCAGTACAGCTGACGAACGAACACATGCAAAAGAGAAATGCTAGACAAACCCGATAATGTAGAGTATGCACTGACGCCACGAAGCCCCACCCGAACACCACCCGAACACCTACGCGCTTAGTTCAAGTGAGTGTTGTACTGCGTCGTGTCGCTACCGTAGTGCACGCCGTACGACGAGTTGTGCAACCAGGTGTTGAAGCTATCATAGCTAACAGCATCGCGGTTCGACGTGTTCGTGAAGTCAAACACAGGTTGGACGTAGTACTTCTTCAACTGCGCAACGGAGCTGTAGATAGTGCGTATCAGCACACCCATACAAGGGTCGTCAAGAAGTAGAAGAGACGTACTCGGGTGTCACGGTGATCCCGTTTGCCTCGATCTGGCCGTAGATGAAGTCGATAAAGTTCTGTTGCGAGATGCCGCAGGTACCGTCATCCGCGCAGGTGGTGGCCATGGAGTCGAATATGTCCTGGCTGAGGGCGGGCAGCTCTGTAGGCGCGGGCGGCGCGGTGATGTTCGTCTGGCAGTAGCCGAGATCGGTCAGTTGGTCAACCTACTCGCGGCCGCGTCAGTATATAGACATATGCGCGGCGTGGAAGAGCACATACACCAGTTGTAATGGCGGCCGCAACGCATGTTGGGTAGTTCCAGAACTGGGTGCCATCCGGGAGCTGAGTGAGGCATGTCCGTGCCTACGTCAAGATGTCAGCGTCGATACCTAACGATCATTAGGAGGTGGAATCACCAAAGGCAAGACGAAGCGGCGATCTTGGACGATCTCGTGTATGCCCAACACACAGAGCGTCGCCTGACGCTTCTCAATCGGCGTAGCGCGAACAGAGCCGAGAAGAGCCGCAGCGGCAGTGAACAAGGCGGAGAAAAGCATGGTCGTAAGTCGTGAACGTGTACAAAGAAAGAGGTTTGGTCGGAAGAAGAATCAAAGGTAGCGTAGAGAGAAGAAGAAAAAGGTGATAAAGATATTAGAAGAAAAGGGCTCGCACACAGGCTACGAGGTGAAGAAGAAAAGAAAAAAGGTGTGGGGTGGAACGGAGACCGGCAACCAGCGCGGTGTACTTATACAGCACCGCTGTCAGGCGCGGGCGCGGGCGGACTCATGCTCACTGCGGCGCGTTATGGCAGGGCAGGCCGGGGTGAGCAGGGGTGGGAATCATTGTTCTGCATGAGCACTGCTGTAGTCGCAACATAGTGGGATCGCCATGTGCGGTCCTGAGGCGTGTACAAAGTTCTCCTTCAGTAATGGCCGAGCATAGACGAGATTATGCTCGAGGCCGACGAGGTAGGGTGGAAAGAACAAGGACAATCCTCTCGCAAACAGAACGCGCCGCGACTCCTCAAGCGGGGAGTGGCTGTGGCGCCTTCCCGTTCCCAAGCGCTTCACGACATCGAGGGGGATGACCCAGCCCGAACGCCAGCTCGGACAATGATCACGCTGCGGGGCGGCGATCAGGACAGTTAGCCGCCGCTCGCAGGATACAGTGACGAGAGGGCCAATGCAGGCCTGTACGCTGCCGTACGACCACCCATCTATCGCAGTGCGCTGGGCACGTTTGTACCGGCGTTACTGAACGTGGAGGAAGGCAAGTGGCGCAGTGCGGTGGACGGAGCAAGATAATGCTACCGGATCAAATATGTCGCGTGGTTTGTGCGTGCGTGCGCATCAAATCCGACCGCCCGGATTAGCCCGCCCGCTATCGGCTGCGAACCCTCTCACTATCTGTGCGAATGACTGACAGCTGCCCTCGGGAGCACCTCGCTCTCCGCGGACTATTTACAGTTCTGCAGCCATGAGCGATCTGAGATCGGACGTCTTCACGACAAGAAGTCTGACATCGATAACGATGACAGCGAAGCTGGACTCAAGCGCCTCAAATTGTATGTGGCAACATCCAGATAACCGCCCCTCCAAGTGTATCGAGCAGAGCATGACGCCAACTGTACCCTTGCCCTCTCGCACGACGTCGATCGACACGAAGCATGCATATCGCATCTCATCTCATCACTCCCTCGGCCTCCACGGCCATGCATGACCGCGTCCATCGCACGATCCATGACACTGACAGCTCAGCATGGAATGAAGAGGAAGAGCCAAAAAAGGTCGCTCGTTCGTTCGTACTGGGGCTACAATGTAAATCGTATCATTTCTTGGCCAACGCTGTCGTGTCGTGTACCGGCCCGAAAAGCGTGTGCAACACTGCAGCAATAGAGAGCGGGAGTGTATGGGGAGAGGGGGATGGCATCGTATACAACAGTCGTGGCGTTCAGTACATCACATCTGGGTGTGTGGGGGACATTGCACAGAGAGTCAGGAAAAATGGCAGACAAATACGGATACGAGAAGATCCGGGGGACACAAGCGGCAGGGCGGCGCACAGCGCCGGAGGAGGCCGCGCGACGCGGACAGCAGACTAGTCCAACGTGATCTTGAGCTGGTCGAGAGGTATCGGGACAAAGTTGTCGATGTCGATGCCCCGCGAGCGCAGCTCGGGCTCGACGTGTGGTGGTACCAGCTTGCTGATCAGGTCCGGCCGGACGCTCAGCTCTGATGATGCACGTCAGCGGACTGGGTAGAAGACGGAAAAGGAAAAGACCGCACCTTCGCGCGTGAAGTTGAAGAGCGGCGGGAAGTCCTTGCCGTTCGGCATCTTCGTCTCTGGGCCGCGGAGCTCATCGAAGAAGGGGTGGACCATAGCCTCCACGGATGACAAGCGCGCCTCGGGCGTGTACTCGAGCAAGCGGCCGACGAGGTCGATCGCCTCCGGTGCGGTGCGGGGACGGAAGACCTTGGCGAACGGGTGGGGCTTGATTTGCGGGAACTTGTGCTCCATGTAGTTCGGGTTCATCGTCTTGATCTGCTCGCGGCTGGGTGTACCGAGAACCTTGATGATCTCGACGAGCTGGTCGATCCCGCTCTCGCCCGGGAAGAGGGGCTGGCCAAGCATAAGCTCGGCCATGACGCATCCGGTGGACCAAACATCAATGTTAGTAGTGTAGTTCGTAGCGCCAAAGATGAGCTCGGGAGCACGGTAGTAACGCGAGCAGATGTAGCTGACGTTGGGCTCGCCAGCAACGAGGATCTTAGCGGAACCAAAATCGCAGAGCTTGAGAACGCCCGTGGCCGGGTTGAGGAGAAGGTTCTGAGGCTTGATATCGCGGTGGCAGATGCCGACGGAGTGGATGTACGCAAGCGAGCGCAAGAGCTGGTACATGTACAGCTTGATCTGGAGCATCGGCATCGGTTGCTTGAGCTTCGAGTAGTGCCTCGAGGCCCTGTAGACCGTCTCGGGCACGTACTCGAGAACGAGATTAAGGTAGACCTCGTCCTTCTGCGCGGGAATATTAGTGCCGAATCAAGCATTCATGATCCACCCAAAGCGCACCTTGTCTCCTCCCGTGTAATAAAATGCGCGGAGGTCGACGACATTGGGGTGCTTGACGAGACGCATGATCTGCAACTCGCGGTTCTGTCACGGGCGTCAATCAATTGAGCGCGGCGGATATGCGACGGGAAATGACTTGCCTTGAAGCGCTTATCCTGAAGAACCTTCTTGATTGCAATAGACGCTTCTTCAGCCGGCGTGTCAAGGAGCGTGGCCTGGAAGACGACACCAAAGGAGCCGTTGCCGATGACCTTCAGGTTATTGTACTGAATTTCCCGCGTGGCGCCCGTCTTGCCGTCCGCGACGTCGACTTTGACGATCTTCCGCGGATCGTCAAGCTCTGCGGCATATGGACAAATGGAAGCGCGCGGGATGGAGCGGCAAAGACACGCGTGAAAGTCAGTATATCTGTTCGGATCTGATAGTATTTTGAGACTCACGGTTGAGCTTGACGCCGTTCATGGGTGCGTGGGTGGACATTGTATGTGAGAGTGAGAGGAGAGTATTGGGAGGCGCAGTGCGGGCGTCGGAGATGCACGATGGGGCACGTTACACGCGGAAAGTCGGCCGACACCAAATATTAGGGAGAAAAAATGGCGTAGACGTGAAGTTCGCGCGTCGCGGTTGTGTTGGTAGAGGGGGGAGAGTAAGACACGGACGAGCGCCAGACGATGGAGGGAAGGAGCAGGAGCAAGACGGCGTCTGGTGATCAATTCCCTGTGCGCGCGTGACGCGCATGTTTACGACTGTTTTATCCTCCGCCGTCGTGTTCGACTTCCTCCTTTGGCTCTTGCCTCTGCCCACAAGGTACCCAGCGGCGATCCTTCGTTGCTTCTTCCTGAATTGAAGCCATGAATTTTTTCGCTCGCTTTCCTTACGTCTGCAGGAGGAGGTGCTCCTTCCTAGCCAAGCGTCTTGTCCCCACGCCACTGTGGAACATTCTAACCGAGCGCAGTCTCAATTCCTAGGTCAAACTCTACCTTGCCTCTCCTTGCGCGCCCATACCTGTGTTCTTGTCGTCGTACTCTGGCCGCACCTCGCTCATCATCCTAGTCTGCGCTCGCTTTGCCCAGGCCGCGCCACTACGGTAGTCGGGCTCCGACGGCTTCGTCACATGTCCTGACTGTCCGGCCGACGCTCTATCGCTGCTCCATCCACCCTCCGGTCGGCACCGTACTCTACCTGACCGTTTTGTCCAACGTAAATACCGCCATCCATTGAGGCGGCGCCAATCCGTGGCTTCTATCATAATCCAGATCCTTGATTGTTGATACCACCGCACTACCACCTGACCACAGCACTCGGGGCTAGCTTCTCTCAATTCGTTGCGGGCGTCGCCACGGATCTATGGCTTCTTCGAGCTTCGGAGAGCAAGTATATACACCGCACGCCGACTGTATTGCTCGTGCTCATCTTTGCCTCATGCCGCACCACCAGCATGAGGCGTTTGGTCGTTACTAACAGTGCGGGTCGACACCAAGGGAGCGCCTCAGATGGTTTGACATTGACGTCGATGAGGCTAGTAAATCTCGGGACGCGTAGTGCCAATGGGGTTTATATGGCTATGTCCAAACTCTATCTAGTCTTCTCACACTTACAGTACTATGAACCCATCATCCCCGTACAGCACGACTAAATCTCTTTACCTCCCGTTCCATCTTACGAACATCCTTACAACTCGGCTCCTGCCGTATATCAGAGTGAATAAATATACAATTTTCACCGCCCAAGCGTTGCTTTGAGATTGCGAGTCAGCAACAATGACGCACCGGCTTCCACCGCGCAACCTCCGTCGACAGGACAGGCGACTTCGTCCTCGACCGCCACCACCCTTTGCCCACGAACGTCAATACAATACTTCATACAGAACGATGTTCGCACAGCTCTGTTCCTAGAGCGAATACATCCAGTCGAACTGCAACGCAAATCCACGGCGTCACCGGCCGCAGCGCCCATCGCCGCCGCGAGCTGTATCTGGCCGACCTGCGCTTGCCGTACTCTGACGAGAGCGCCCATCGTCTCTTTCAGCGGAGAGTCCGATAGTTGTGGATGCTGGCAATGGTGTTAAGCGCCGATCCCTTCGTTGCATACGACACGCTCGATTTTGTCCGCTTGCACTCGCCGCATCCCCAGCATGTATCGGTCTTGACAAGCGGCCCTACGACAACGAGCGCTAGAGCGTTTGTGCGAACGCGCGCCTGTAGTCAGCCAGCGCGTTGCAGTATAGGTGGGAACTGACCCTCGGTCTGCGTCCGCCCAAGTTGGGAGTCGCGCACTGTGCTTACGGCTCCGGCCGACGTGCCCCGCCTGGTCCTGGTCTGACCAAGAGTCAAGAGGGCGTGTATTTGCCGCGTTCGGGCAGGATCACCGTCACTCTGCTGAGACTCGCTCGGCGTGAGCCGCGCAGGATGAGAGCGGTGCACTGTCAAGTTCCCGCTCTTTGGGAAGACGCGCATCGGCGAAGTCGTTCTTCTCGCATCGCGCATCGCGAGCCCCTGCCTCACTGAGATCACACTTCTGAACGAGTTTCCTCCGACAGTATCAGTCCTATACAGCGCTGTTCAAACGAAATGACAATACAGTCGAGGCGAATGTTCGCTGCTACTGCGTGACGATAACGTACTCCCCGGTATACCTCGTTTCTCACCCCTGCTTCGAACAGTGTCACCCCGCAGCGCCCCCTCGCATCCCTCAAGCCCCAACATATAAGGCTTTGCGCCTCCGCTCGGCCATCCCCCACACCCTTTTAATCTTCTTTTCTCCCCGCTTTCTTCAAGCCCTATCTTTATCCTTTTCTTCTTCTATTCTCTTCGGGGCCCTTTTTTTTCTTTTTCTTTCTTCACCCGACGACAACCTTCTTCCGACCGCCCCGCGCTCACTACCTTTTACGACCCAACCGACGAACTTTGCTACGATGCGCTTCTCAAAGTCTGCAATCTGGGCGACCGCTACTACCGCGGTCTTCGTCGCGTCTTCGCTGTTTGGCAAGGCTGAGGCGTCGCATGCTCTGAACCGCCGCCAAAACACGCCTTGTGTTATCGGCGCTCATGAGATGGCCGCGGAGCGCCCGTGGGTACCCCCGATGGTCAGTACTTCCCGTCTTACTACTCAGTGCATGCTGCTGACGGTGAGCTTCGTAGGCGAAGGCTTGTGTGCGCCAGTTGAAGACCGGCCTTGACTTCTGGGAATCGGAACTCTGCACAGCAGCCGCGATCATGTTCGGCGTACGTCTAACCCCTCCCTCTTCATCCCATCCCCGTCGCTGATCAATCGCGCGCCACTTGCAGGTCCAGCAAATCAACGACCTCTCAAACTGCTACACCGACCTCGCACCCGTCCCTCTGCCTGCCGAGCAGCCCGACCTCCCTCAAGAGATCTACGCGTCAATCGTAGGGGACTGTGCCGCGCAGGGCTGCCCGATCTCGCTCCTCAACTTCGTCGACTTCATCTACGGACAGATCAAGGCGCAGGGCTTGACATCCTATCCCGAGTACGTCTCGTTCCTGTGCAAGTGCTGACCCGAGATGCTGACAGTGTGAACTATAGCTCGGTTGATACGCTCGAGAACTTCTACATCCAGCCGATCTTCACGTTCGGAGGGTACACGCTTGAGGAAGGTGTCCCGTACGACGCGTTCAACCAGTGGCTGCACATCTCGGGCTTCACCAACCACTACGTCAGCCCCTGATCTCGCCGCTGCGTTCCGTTTCACACTGTCCTTTTTTCCTCCCCCATCCTAAAGTATCGTTGCATTGGGTCTTGTTTGCGGTGGCGCGTCGGTTGTTGGCTCGTCGTTCGCCTACATTTGCACAGCTTTTGTAGTTTTGTTTTCGGTCTTGTTTGAATGCATTTTCTTTCTACCTTCAAGTTCAACTGCATGGATACTGTCCGGAAGCACGTTCAGGTAAAGATTGATGCCGGTGGGTGTATCTACGCACCATCCTGGTCCGGCCGTCGTGTCAGCGTATGCGAGTCCAGCGGTGCAGAGTCAGGAACAGCTCGCCTGGACCCCATCACTCCATTCTTCATTTTCCCGAAAGCAGTCTTCAGAGGATTTGAGCTAGCGCTCGTGACAATAGGTGCCTGGAGGCGCGCCTCAGTCGCATCAGGTCGCATCTCATCTCGGGCGCAACACATGTGATCGCGTCGACGGTGGTTGTTCCCGCCTCGCCTGCGAGAAGATGCGCGGGCTGCCTCCTGCTTGTACTACGCTTATACTACGCTCGAGAGTCTCTACCATTTGCGTCTATGGAACATATACCGTACGGTATGATGAGCTGGGAATGCTGCGCACTGCGCCCTTGCATCATCTCCGTAACGGCCGTGACGACGCGCTAGCGCGTGCCTGCCAGCTAGTAGTCGCCCGACGCCTACATCCTCAAATCATAGCCTATTGCCCTCGCGCTGCCGCCTCACCTCGCATGCATTCTCGGGAGAAGCGACGTATGCTGAAGAAGTACTGGACGCATGTCCAGTCCGACGACCACGCTCGGCATCAGCCGCGCCTCGCCGCGCGTTCTCCATGCCGTCCCGACTTCCTTTGTGTTGCGGACTTTCAACACGAACCTTGATCGCACTACCTTTCTTCTCGCTGATATGGATCCGAGACACTGTACTAGGACGATCTTGAAAGAAGCTCTGATGACAGTCGGGGTCCAAATTAACGGTGGTTTGTCCAGTTGGACCCTGTCCTCTTTTGTTTCGCGTCGTCCGGCATCGGGACAGGGACCCATGGTCATCGACAACTTCACCGGACTCCTTGTAGTGCAGCTTTCTGCTCTCTCTTTGCGATGAGAGGGTTGGGTATGCTGCAAGTCGACAGCGAGCGTCGAAAGACGAGGAGGAGACAAAAGGCCGTCCATACAATCGCCGTGGACAGCGTGTGGCACACGCATTCGGACAATTTGTGGTCTTCGGAAATCAAGAGGAGAAGGGCACTAGCCGCGCCCTGGACGCTCGATTATGCTTACTTCATTCGACCGTCCAGTATATCTAGGCGGTGGACCGAGCACCACCTTTTCTTCCGTCACCCATCATCGCACTGCCCGCCACAAGCAACATCTCTGCGAACATCGAATTGCTACTCCCATCGTCCTCTACCATGGACTTCATCATACAACTGCTGGGCCAGCCTCAGCTCGCGAAGCCTCTGGGCTTCCTCATTGATTCTATCTACACCGTCGCCGCACTGTATCGGTATTGGTTCTCTGGCCCGAGCCCGGTGGCTCACGTCGCGCCCACGCGCACCATCGACGTCCCGGCTCCCTCGGTTAGCAGCATGACTCCTACCCGCATGCCGAGTACCGTCCCGGCCCAGTCATGGACTTCCTCTGTGCTCATTGCTCTCATCTTGGTCTTCGTCGTCGTGAGTGGCTCCGTTCTGAACCACACTATGGGACAATGACTGACTTCTCTTAGATTATCACTACCGTCGTTGTCATCCTGTCAGTCGACCCCTCGAAGAAACGCACACGCAAAGTTACCTCGGTATGTTCACACCACAGACCAAGTGAGGGCAGTACTGACAGACTACTAGACAGAAACGTCTGCTTGTCCAACGGTTCTGCAGGTCTCTCCGAAAGACGTTCTCGGATCCGCTCGCAATGTCCCCCCGTATATCGCGCTGTACTTCCTCAGCCAGCCAGAGACGTACGTCGACCTCTACACGGATATGGCCGTCGGCCACTACGTCGCCACTGGATCGAATGCACCCGCCTCATACGGGATCATGCATGTCTACATCATGATGCTTCCCGTTCTCACCATCGTCAAACATTATGCCTGCACTGCTCTGGCGCGTTGGTCTCGTTCTCGCCGTTCTGCTTACAATTCTTTCGCCGCTCCTCTCGCTGGTTCGGTGATCGAGAACAGCGTTTCTCCGCCGGGCCGAGTTGCGATTGAGGAGCTGGCTTTGGCTACCACGACAGCGTCAACTGGTCGCAGCTCTCTCTCCCTTGTGATCGAGAGGACTCCCAGGACGTTCGTCATTCGTGGCCCCGTTCTTATCTCGTCCAACCTTCGCCATCTATCCGACTCGAACCAACCTTCTACGTCTCTATCCGCTCTATGTCTCGCATACGTCGCCAAATCGAGTCTTGCCGCTACGTTTGGTCACTTCGGCGTCTTCGCCACCGTCGCATTGGGTTTCCCGGATCTCGTATCAACGGCGCTTCGCTTCGCGAGGCACACCCTCTTGGCGCCCGTCACCAACCCCGCACGCGTCGCACTGACCATCGCGCGCGCTTCCCGGCATGCAGCCACGAAATCCGCTCAGCTTGACACCATCACGGACTCAACCACGACATCGATCCCCAACGCCCCGAACACCGCGACCTCTCCCGTCGACGTCTTCGCCTGTTCACCCGTCCCAGGATCACCGCTCGTCATCATGGAGAGTCTGATATCGACGAACGGATGTGTGCAAGTGTCTCGTCGAAGGGCGATGCTGGATGCACTCGCGACCGATACCTATACCCGGAGTCCGAATGATGGTACGAAGCTCGACATCGCGACGCTTCGCCCTCGACATGTTCGGTCCTCACGGCGCCGATCTGCCTCCGCACCGCCTTCCTTACCCGCATACTCGGAGAGTCTCCGCCGTGTGTATGCAATGACTATTCTTGATGAGCGTGGCTCGTCAAAGACTCGACGGACGGCTCCCGAGCCAGAACTCCCTCCACGTCCTCATTCCGCTGCCGGGTTCGCACCGAGCTGGGAATACCCGAAGGAGAATATGTTCAAGTCTGGGCCTTGCGACGCACCGTATCATCCACCCCTCACCAGTGACGAAAGGGAAGAAGACACAATACTCCAGCCTGTTCCTGTGGGATATGGATTTCAGCAGGCCAATCAGACTGGGGAACCGTCCCGTTCCCATCGCAAACGCAGTGCGCGGAAAACGAAGCATTCCCCGCGTAATCGAGGAGAGATTAAGCATGCGGATAGGTAGACTCTATTTGTTCAGTATTGTATTTGTATGCACCCCAGGCCGCATATGTAGGCGCTTGGTCGAACTGTAATATTGAATCCACTTTTCTAACACATTTCCGTAACGATAGATGCGTCGAGCCGATCCAAGTGCACACAAGTCTTGCCGGTCTCCTTGGCTACCTGTGGACAAGTCAAGCGCCAGTGTGAACACCAAAGTCAGGCGCGCAGAATATTGTCCCAGCCGCTGTGTTCTGCGCAGGGAGACCCTGGGAACCCCGGGCCGGGTCACCCGCTGAGTCGCTCAGCAACACGCTCAGCCTGCCCTCAGCTTGTTCTCGTCCAGCTTCTTGATCATGACGCTCGCGTAACGTGCACTGCGCTGGAGAGTAATCATGTCCTCCGTCCGGAAGACAATGATTTCCATCCCATGAAGAATGCCTATATTGCCACATATCCCTCTGGCATTGCATCATTTCATAGAAATCCATGTCACTATGATGCTCCGAATGGACTGCCGCATGCCCGAACGGTCCGTCGATGTCTTGTCTAATCTTCTTCAGCTTCTTACCTGTTCCTCTCAGAAATCACCTGCCCTTTAGGTATCGACACTTGACGGCGCAGATGACTATACCCATACAAGTGATTGCGTCCCGCTGACCATCCGCGGGTCATATCTACCCCCAGCCGGCATATGTATAGATCCTAAGCTTCACCACCAGACGACACCGGCGTCAACACAATGCCAGCTCGAACACCCTCCGTCAACGCCCTCCGCTATTTCTCGACATCTCTACGCCGCTCCTCGCTCCCCTCACCGTTGCCCGGTGTATCCACCGCCCTCGCGCACGCTTCCCAAGCCCATTCCTCTTCCTCTCCACCGCACGGCGTCCTGAATGTGTCGCCACGCCCAACTCTTGCCCAAACTTTCTCCTTACAAGGTCGCGTTGCCCTTGTATCTGGCGCGAACCGCGGTCTAGGGCTCGAGATGGCACTTGCACTCGCTGAGGCGGGAGCGAAAGTCGTATGCGTTGATCTCCCAAGAGAGCCGGGACCGGAGTTCAAGGCGGTCGACGCATACCTGAATGCTATTCGGGGAAACAACGAAGAGGGAGTGGAGGCACTTGGCGGTGGCTCAGTCGGAAGCGTGCTGTACAAGCGAGCCGATGTTTCAGATCAGCGAGTGATGTGGGAGCTTGGTGAGGCCATTGGGAACGAGGAGGGCAGGATGGATGTGTGTATAGCTGCTGCGGGAATCTTGCGACCCGACAAGGACGCTTTAAATTATGACGCAAAGGAGTTGCATGAGGTAAGTATGGCCCAATCATAGTTCTTGCAGCAGGTTCCTCATATTGGACTCTGCGTGCAGATGTATGATGTGAATGTGCATGGTGTGCTTCATACGGCGCAAGCAGCGGGGAGGCAGATGGCGCGCTTTGGTAACGGCGGGAGCATTATTCTGATAGCGAGTATGAGCGGCTCGGTCACTAATCGCGTAAGTTATTCAACTTCTTCCTCCTTGGCTCGGCTTTTCTGACGAGTCTCCCTTATTGCCATTCACGCCGGACAGGACCAGAACTGGATATCGTATAACTCGAGCAAGTCTGCGGTCATTCAGATGGGTAGGAGCATGGCATGCGAGCTTGGGCCGCAGCGCATCCGCGTCAATACTCTCAGTCCAGGCTATATCTACACCGCGTGAGCTCCCGTGCATCTTTTCGAAATCGCTTGTACTGATGAGACCATGTAGGCTTACTGCTGCATTCCTCGACAAGCAGCCCGGCCTTCAGAAGAAGTGGGAGAGTCAAAACCCCTTCGGTAGGCTCGGGAGACCGGATGAGCTACGTGGCGTCACAGCATGGCTCGCTAGCGACGCCAGCACTTTCTGTACCGGTAGCGAGTGAGTCTTCTTGACACTTATCCATCGATGTAGCACACTGATGATCGCGCTAGTATCTTGGTCAGTGGGGGACATCACGCATGGTAGCATGTGAGCTCGTCAGATTTTTGGAGTTCTCAAACACTCAACGAGCTCATTCGTATGATGCTGTATGTACAGTAGCCTGTCATATTCATGGAAGATCGCATTCGTGCCTTGTTGAGTCTGGCTTACGACACGGAGTCGGCTGCGATATAAGAGCACTACAGGAATGGCCATCAATTCAGTGCACTCTGAGCGCAACCACATAATAGAGAATAATGGTGTATCGTAATATGGGCGTCGTGCATGTTGGGTAAAGAGGATATGTGGATGGTAGCGCCCGACTACGTCCCGAACAAGAGTAAGCACAGGTGATGCGAAGCTTGCGAATACAACCCGGCAAGAGGTGCAATGAGACTTCATGCATCATGGCTGGGGGCAGGTTCTGGTGCGGAAGGACTCCGAATTCATACTAACGGAGCGTGAGTAAGTCCGGGGGTAGGCAGATAGGAGTAGTCACACGCACCGAATGGGGACGCCATACACCTGGGACCATACTGCGAGTACTCCGCGTTGTCGACACTAACTCTCCGGACTGCACTGCGTGGCCACTGGCTGAACCGCACCATCCGATAAAGCAATTATATTCATTGTTCCACCTCCGGGCTGCTATCTCGATCTAGTGTTCTCTTGATGCAATGCGCCTCGTGTGATCCATTACGAGGATGCGTTAATCTCCGAGGCTGGCGTGCACTAGCCAAGAACAGGCGAGCCAGAAAACTGCATCTAGGTCCACTGTGGACACGAGTTTATGAGAAACGCCAGGTAACTGTTGATCCTCAGTGTCGCCACAAGGAGATGTTCAGGCAGCAAACAGGAGTTTTCATACACGAGAAGCAAGGCTGCATCGGAGTTGGGAGCAACCATGCGCACGAAGGTGCTTGTCACAGGCATGTCACCAAACGGACCCTCCGACCTCCGGACTTGACTCTGACCACCATGTCTGATGGCGATCATTGAATGCTATTCGCGTCAAACGCCCGATATCTTTTGTACCATCACGGTCTTGAAGGTTTCAGCACGACTTCGCATCCTAATATTCTCTTTGGCGACACCACGGTCCATTACAAGTCCAGAAGATATAAGCTAAGTAACATGCAAGAAGGGGTATGAATGCTCGAGGTATACAGTGACGCAGGGTATCAAAACTCGAATGGGTTTAATGATTAGCAAGGACTCTCGCAGACAGTGGAGCAGTACACGTATCCAGAACCTAGACTCACGACCGGCGCTCCGAGATCCCCATTAAAGCCTAAGCAGAGGCATGACACGACCAGGAGAGACGTAAACGAGTCCAAGCAACACCACATCGCGTACGCTGACACAACCCGGGCCGGTACCGATCCTCCACCGCAGTTCTTCCCACTGGGTACGCCCAGTGACGATGTCACCATTCTCGTACACCTGCAAGTCATATTAACCATGGTGAACTGATCGCAAGTAGGCAGGCAACTCATCACTCACAGCCATCGCGTTCTTCACGGCCTTGCACGTTGCAGTCGCCAAGCGCCGCAGCGATACACAGTAGCCTGACGTGTCCTTTCGCGACTCCTTTGTCCGCAGCTGGATCTGTTTCTCCAGAGGACCATAGTTATGCCACTGTAGTGTTGGTCAGTGCGTCATCATGTTCTCACTTGGGGAACCACTTACCCAGAATCCCACTTTCAGCGATGTCGCGTGAATACGAGTGGGTATATCGGGAATGCGGTCGAATGTAGGAGCGGTTATCGGTATTCCGAGTGATCCGTCATTGTTCCAAAACCATACGGGAAGCATGTCTGTTCTTTGCAACTCACTCTGACTTCGTATTGGCTGACTCAGATACAGATTGAGCATTCTCGCAGGGATGATGCGCGTAGGGTCCGGCACCCGCACGTCCAGAATACACCAGCGGGGAAAGGGCAATCCGAGCGCGTCTGGCAAGGTCTCGAAGACGTCGCTCGCGCTTGTCTGACCTGCATGGGAAGCATCGAACCCAATCGCGTCGGGTGGCAGTCCGTAAGGGGCATACTCTGCGGCGCGCCAGCTGTAGTAAGATCGGGAAACGAAGACGTCCTCGGTCTGGCCAGCTTGGATCGCACGGTCTGCTGCGGCGAACACGAAACGCTCCGCGCGATCAAGAGCTACGTCGTCGCCAAAAGTGCACTTGAGGACTGTCGCCCCGATGTGCTCCATCTTGATGTAGACGCGAGCAAGGTCGTGCGCGCTTATGGGAAATTGCAAGGGAACATGCTACAATTCGTCAGTGACTGGAGGAGCGAAGGCGTGTAAACAGGTACTGACGGTGCTAGTGCTAGACATCCTTCTAGCCGTCTTAATGTTGTTGAGGAGGTGTCGAGGAGGTGCGGTCGGTGGTTGTCTGACTGGCTTCTGTCCTGACGAATATATAGCCAACAGTATTCATCTAGGCCAGGCTGTTCTGCGCGTGCGGAGACGATCTTAAGCCTGGGCGAGTGATGGGCGAACTGAGCGTCCTGATGGGCACTTTCCGATCACCGAAATGTTGACAAGTCGACTTGCACAGAGCTTGACTTCATAGCACCGCACCCTTCTTGCGCGCCCTTTGCACTTCGACCTCACGGCTTTGTCGCGGATTTCTCCCGCAAGACTGGCACATCAGCCACTTCGCTACTTTCCGTGCCCTGGTCTGCGAGGCGGCGATTGTGGAAACAAGCAGTGTAACATGCTGCCCAATGGCTTCAGATCATATCCACGAATGGGAGTTCGCAATATTAGGTGCGACTCTCCCTCATGTAACTTGTAGCGAATACTGTCCGCCCGACTATGTCCAATTGTGGCCGCAGACGATGGCGCCCAAGTTGGGGTTGCACGTAAGAGGCGCCTCAACATGCGAGGTGACGCGAGGCAAAGGGCCGTCAGAGCCGGCAATGCGGAACGACAGAATGATCCATTGAGAAGAGTGGGTCAGTCCCCAATTCTCTTTGCCTACATCCACCCTGCGAGAGCAATTGACGAGCCGCAATTTCGACAGGAGATCAGCCCCTTGAAGAAGCGAGTTCCACGAGTACAGCGGCTCCGATGAGTTGCCACCGGCCCGTTTGACCCGCGTATCACAGTGACCCCTTCTATCTGCCACTCAAATGCGAGTGCATCTGGGGGCCCGGGCGGCGCTGAGGCCCGGCTCTTGCGCTCAACAAACAAGGTGGATTCCGAACGAGGCCGCAATGTTGAAGCGCAAGTTACTGGCTTACAGGATACGCAAGTTCGTCCGGTCTCCACGCAGAACGCCACGAGAACATCCCCATCGATATGCGGCGTGGCGCATGGCCTCCCAGAGCGTGAGCAACGCGCGCTCAACTTAAGCATTTAAGATTCAGGCTCCGACTGGTAGCCTGCTTGTTGCGTGCGGTGTACAGCCGACAGATAATATTCTCGCCAAGCCAGCACAGAAGACGCGATGAAGCGTACGGAGTCCGAGATAAAGACTGATTGGCACTGGTTAGGCGGACTCTCTTTCAAGAGGGTTCGATGTTCCTAGAAGCGATGGGCGATCTCCCTGCAGGAGGCGCTGAAATGCCGTTCTTTCCTGAATCTTCATAGGTCCCAATCGGCAATCGAGGGCGCGAAATCGAGTTGTGGCTGAACCCGTGGGGCAAGGCCTGGGCCTTTTGGACTGTAGGACGGCGCTGGAACAATGTTGGCAACACGAAGGCGCATCATAACTGCCGTCTTCAGGGCTGCCAAGTGGTGAGCGCTTGAACATTCGCACAACGATCAATGTCGTTTTCTCATCATCACGGATAGAGTAGGCGAAAGGGTAGAACGTCCTCAAGTGTGGCGTCGATGCTATAGCATAGCTCACGGAAGGGTGGCAGGCTGTGTACGCAAAGCAAATAGCCTGCTGCTTTGAACCTGATTTTCTGGAACCCCGGTGGCGCTGGCTCCCGGCTTGCTTCCAAGACGAAAGACTACTAGATTCTTGAGCGATGTGACTGTGATACACTTGGTTACATTGTCTGGTATCTCACTCAGATAGAATAGAACCCACTTGTGGCTATCTGAGCCGACGAGTTAGGTGACCTCGGTGCCACCTGCTGATGATCTCAACGCCTTCTTCTCCGGCCTTCGCCGTTATCACGTTGCATGACAGGCTGTGTTGAACACGCACTCCCGTTGTGTCTTCCGTCATATAGATCATTCTGTATGAATTTGGCCTGCAGTGCAGCGTGGAACGGGAGGCAACGCCTGAGCATCGTGCAGTAGAGGGACAGTAGCTGAAAACACGCCGCGCCTACTGCTGCTCCTGGTCCCTCGGCTGTGCATCCTGGACCTTCGGCATACATAGAACGTCGAGCGCTGTTGACTGAATAGCATGATGCGGGTGTCACATTGACATCGATCACGCCGACGTTTACAGGTAGAATGCAGAGAAAACTGAGCATCGCGAGTCACCGGTCACTAGTCACCGCCCGTCAGAGTCGGAAGCGAGTCAGCCCCCCTTGAATGTAGGCACATATGCATTCGGTCAAATCGTCGGTGGCAGCGAAAATAATGATGTAGAAGCGCAAGGTCTTTCTGCCCAAGGGTAATCTTCTGAAGTCACTCCGAGACTCACGGAAGGCGTAGATTCCACCTCCCTCCTCAGTGTGATTGAGCATCGAACCAACGTTATCAGCCTGAGAGAAGCGGTAGACCTCGGGCCCGACGTCTTCGGCCTGGATGTCTGCTCATGCGCTCATGAGCTGTGCGAAGACAGCAAATACGGCCCCGAGTGCCATTCTCAGGCTTCGTCACGCTGAATGCTAGCGGAATGAATCGGCGCCATAAGCAGCATTTATACACAAGGGTTGTGATGGAGTATGACCTGTGGAAGCGTACGCAGACTCCGCGGCGGGATGTAGGCGCGCACCGCTCGGATCCGCAGATCTCCGTGCTCGTGCTCGGGCTTTCGCTACTCTGCCCTTCTCTATCAAAGCTGTGAGCTGTACTCAGCGGCTCCGGTCGACTGTAGAATTGCAGTGCACGAGCACATGTAGACGCGGAGCCGAACAAGCATAGGCGCACATGCATTGACGACTGCGTGCTCCAAAGACGCGCGCCCCCGAACTAGCCGGCGCATACTGCGGGGCGTAACAAGGACAATGGAAGATGGTCGTCGGAGGTGAAAGAACGCGCTCGGACCCGCGGGCGCAACACTCATCATGGGTACGAGGGAACGGAGATCTCGGGTTGAGATGGGGATCGTACTATCTGTGGCGCGGTTGCCGGCGGGAACACAATCGACGGGCGCGATAGTCGAGACGGCACTTTTGCTGCGAACGCACTTGTCGCGAACCCTTCCATATGCGGTTACACGCTACAGCGCGCGTCATTCGAGATTTGAGATGCACCGTGATCGACGTTTGTGGGCGTGCCGTGGCACTCGACCGCTCGCGTTTCGCGTATGGCGTATGCCAAGGTGCCGCGGTTAGACTGTGGACAGCGGGCGCAGGTAAGGATATCGTCGTATCGAGCGCGCAGGCGCTTGCGGGCCTGTGAGCACAGTGCGGAGGTCCGGCGCGACGCGGCGAAGAAAGCGCTACGCAGTCGCGTTCTGGCAGCTGCGCAGTCTGTGCGGCACAAAATCGGCTCACATCATGAGTTCACCGTGTCTCTGAACTGAACAATCCGTCTCCTGCGCAGGGCATTGAACGTATTGAACGTTGAACGCGTCTCTCGACTGGGAAGTTGGGTTGACGTTGTTGAAGGGAAATGGATCTGCTGGAAGGCTGCTGAATGAACGGCAAGGCGTGACAGCGCTGTTCGCGGGCAAGTCTGTCACGTTTGAGTTTCTTCTTTGTCTCATGACGGATCTTGGAGCTGGATCGTCCAATGGATCTGTAGCGTAGGGCATCTAGTAGTTGTATACGTAGTCCAAGGATACAGGCGAAGTACGGCTGTGAGATTATATGCTGTTCACCGGGACAAACTGGGTTCAATGCACCCGACACAACGGAATTGCCCCCGATTCAGGAGGCGGCTGCGCGCTGGGAGAAGCGCAGTCGAACGCAGTCGAGGAATGTCTTCTTACAACCAGCCCCAGCGCAGGGTCCATCCTTGACACGAACCCCCATCTTACTATTTACCATGGTCGACGCACCGAGCAGACCGTCGCGCAAAGGGAAGGAGCGCGAGACGTTCGCGGCCGACTTTACAGACCGCATGGTAGCGCTCCAAAGACGCAACCACCAACCGTGAGCGTCATTTTACCATAGATCGGGTTATGATATACAATAGCTGACACTGGATAGACTTACGTCCAGGCGAGAGCGCCCGACGATCTCGACCGCGACACCGCCTACGACGACTGCAGCGGCCACGGCGAGCCCACCACGGAAAGGGGCACTCCCCCAAGTCGTTGTCTCAGCCGAAGACGAGTTCTCCCGGCGTCTAAATATTACGTCGAGCAATTCGCCGCCCAGCAGGCCGTCGCGCCAGGCCGCTTCTGCCGCCGGCAAGTCGCTCTTCAATCCGCACTCTGACGTCCCCATGCGCCGGACCGCAGAGCCAGACGCCATCTCGGACTCGACAAACGGCTCGAACAAGGCCGCAGCCGCCGCACCGCAGTCCGGACGCCAGCTCTTCGACCCTCGCCGCGACGACCCCGTCCGATTCGGCGCCCAGCGCAAGCCGCCACCGACGCCAAAGTCTTCCGGCGATTATATTTCTAGCGCCTCGTCGTACTACGCGCCCTCTGTCGCGTCCTCATCCTTCACGCTCAACTCGTCCACCACCGATGGATCCTCCGACCCGTCTTCGATCTTCGATTCCGGCCGGCCCGAGCTGCCGAGCAAGCCTTCGAACGCGTTCACGGTCCAGCTGAAGAAGCTTTATCGGGACATTACCAATGTCGAGAACAAGATCAAGAGCGAGGATGCCGACGGCGAGATGATGGACGAGAGCCGGGTGCTGCCCAAGCCGCAGGCGACGCAGGCCGACGAGAGTGCCGAAAGCGCCAAGTGGCAGCGCGCGATCCAGGACCATAAACTGTGAGCGCAATTCCCAACTGTTGTTCGCTACGTATACTGATCTTTGTCTGCTTAGTCTCGCGGAGATGATGCACCAGCTCTTGACCATCTCGACTGCACCATCTGTACCAGCATCTCTGCGCAGCATCCCGGAGAAGTACAGTATTATTGTCCGCCTATGGACATACGGCTTCCACAAATTGCTCGAAAACCTTCGCCGTTCCGCGCTCAGCTCCCCAGTCGCGCTTGAGCATCTGCAGGACTTCATCTACTTCGCTTACAGCTTCTACGCGTGCTTGCATGAGGAGCACAATCTCGCCGCGTACCGTGCAGCATGGCTCGAGGCCCTCGGCGACCTGGCCAGGTACCGGATGGCAGTGGCAGCGATGCTTCCGCTCTCGGCGCTCTACGCTCCGGCCCCTGCGCCCTTACTTTCAACACTCGCACCTCCCGTGGCGATGACGCCGACGAGCACTTCCGGCGCAGCAGGCTCAGGTGGACGGAGCGATGTCCCAGCCGGACCGGCGCGGATCGACGACTCTCCCAGCCCGAGCGTGGGCATAGTCGCGGCTCGTAACTTTGAGCTCGAGCCGGAGAAGGAAAGGTGGCGCGCGGCGGCCCGGGTGTGGTACGGCGCGGGTGTGGCGGACACGCCCGGAAACGGCAAATTGCATCATCATCTCGGTTTACTTGCGCGCGAGGCGGAGGGAGAGGATCTGCGCGCGGTGTACCATTTCACAAAGAGGTGCGTTCGGCCTCCCTTGTTATCTTTGCTGGGAACTTTGGGCGCTAACGTTCTGCTCGCGTGGTTTACAGCTTGATCGCGACGCACACGTTTACGACTTCTCGAGAGTCTGCGCTCCCGATTTGGTCTGGCGCTGCACAAACGCGTCGCGCGCAGGCAGACGCCACCGCTTCCGACCTTTTCGTCCGTCTTCACGGCACTTTATTCACCGCCGTCGAACGCGACGCCTTTGCACCGACACTCTCGCGTCTCTCGGAGCGTCTCAGTCTGACGAACGGCCAAGTCGAGAGCCGCGAGTGGGCGATGATGGCCTGTGCCAACGTCGCTGCTCTACTCGAATACGGCAAGAAAGAAGGCGTATTGAAGCGCGCGGGCGCCTTCCCGCAGGCCACCGGTACCGGACAAGCGGCCCAGGCCCAGGCGCGCATGAAGATCGCAAGCGCCCGTGCCCGCAATGACGACGGCATGGACATCGACGAGCCCAGCCCCGCGCTCTCCGAGGCTTCGCTCATCTCGGGCAACGGCGAGCTTCCCGCCGCCTTCACGCTCGCGTGCCAGCTTGCGTTCACCATGCTCGCGCACGCGGTCTCACATCCAGTTCCTGCACGCGATGGACGCCCTGCACCTTCGGCGTACGCGACGATCCTGCTCACGTTCCTCGCGGTCCTCGCGAAGTCCGAGGCAGCGCGCGTCTTGCTCGAACGCTATGTTCCGTGGGAGCAAATCGCCAGCATGCTCGAGCACGCGCCATCGCGCATTCTCAAGCTCGAGGATGGCTCTAGCGAGCGTCTCGCGAGGCGCGGCGCGTTGCCCGAGGACTGGTGCTTGCGCGGTATGGGATGGCCCGGCCGCAATCTCTTCGAGAAGGGTTTCTGGAAGGCCGAGGAGGGCATCTCGCGCGAGATGGAAGTTCTCGACGAGCGCGAGGGCGCGGAGCTTGAGACCGACGAGGGACGCGTCGAAGAGGAGGGCGATGAAGAGGAGGAAGAGCTCGGCACCAGGCGATGGGCGCGCGCTGTATGGGCTGGTGCACGTCTCGCAAGGCTCGTACCCGGCTTTGTGTGGAGGGGCGGGAAGGAGTGGGCCGTTGATGGCGTGTTGCGCGAGAAGGTCGCGGCGTGGACTGAGGAGGAGAGGAGAGAGCGGGAGGAAGAGGAGGCGAGAAGGTCGCGCGTTAGGGGCGCGGATCCGATGGAGGTTGACGAGGATGAGGCTATTGAGGAGGATAGTGAGGACGATGAGAGCGCTCCTGAGGAGGTTCGCGCGCTTAAGGTACATCCCTTCACTTTTCATTCATACGAACACGACGCTAATGTTTACATCCACTTTCAGGCGCGTCGACGCTACTTGCGCTCGCTTCTCCGCCCATCCGCTGCACTATCTCAACCTTCACCCCGCAGGCATACCCGTCACAAGGGTCCCACACTCCGCCTCTCACCGGGCTACACGACGCTCGTGCTCGACACGAACGTTCTCCTCGCCGCCCAAGAGCGCGTGCGTGCGCTCATCGAGAGCCAACAATGGACAATCGTCGTTCCCCTCCCCGTAATAATGGAACTCGACGGCCTCGCCACGTCCTCCCACAACCCCGCCGACCCCTTCGCATCCCCCTCCGACCAGGGCCAAGCCGAACTCGGCAAGATCGCCAAGTCCGCCGTCGACATGCTCTCCTCTCTCATCCGCACCCACGGCTCGAGCCTCAAAGTGCAAACCAGCAGAGGGAACTACCTGTCTTCGCTCGTTGTCAGGCGCGAAGCGGTCGACTTTGATGGATCGCCGAGCGGATGGGAGAGGTGCATGGATGATCTGATTTTGAGGGCGGCTGTGTGGCAGGACGAGCATTGGGTTGATAGGAGTGGCGTCGCGGAGAGCGCTAGTCGCGTCGTGCTGTGTACCCTGGATAGGAATTTGAGGGTGAAGGCGCGCGCACGGCAGCTCGATGCGGCGGGCGAGGAGGAGATTGCTGCATTGCTCGCTGGCGCATAGGACTCCACCTATTTGATGGGTTCTGATGACCGTCTCATGGTGAGCGGCGTATAATGGAGACGGAGAAGAATGGCACGCCCGGCCCGCACTCGCGCCGCCTCCGAGGCATAAGACGCGCGCGGTTCACTTCCCTTCTCCCTTTTCTCCAACTTTGTGGATGATTATCCGGTTCTGAATCGTGGAGGGACTATTCAAACATCAACGGCTTGTATCAAAAACACCCATTACTCTACCAACGCTCCCTGATTCTTGTCTCATTGTCTGTTTACTCTGCATACCCTCTCGTTCCTCGCATTCGTGTTTGTTCGGCTTGCTATCATCTTTCGCTCGCTCGCTCAGTCTCATAGTCTGGTACAATAATCACTGTGTTTGTATATCTTATATCTTTATGGCTTGTATCTATGCATCTTTCTGTCACATCATCTCTATTCGGAAGGTAGCCTGACGGGAGAAGTGAACCGGATACGTCGGAAGTCGGGCCGGTACAGATGCATCGACGTATGTAAGTACGTCAAGTCGAGCATGTTTCCTCCAGGCACAGATCGTCAAGATCGATGCTTTCGTCCCATGAAGTTCATCTAGTAGTACATTGTTGTAGATGTGATAAATGTCCGATTCCCGTTACTGAATCCGCAACCAAAAGCGCCGTATACATCATCAGTTCGTGGTGACCCCCTCCGCTACCATGCATGATGGCCGCCACTGACGAGGATGCTGTACGATTATCAGATCCATGAGACGATAAAATCATGAGAAAGAGAGACTCACTCGCTGCCAGTACAGAAAGTGCTTGCATCACTCGCGAGCCACGCTGTGACACCGCGCAGTTCGTCCGGACGGCCGAGTCTTCCGAGCGGGTTCGCGCTTTCCCACCTTCCCTGTAGTGCGGGCTGCTTGTCAAGGAATGCAGCCGTCATCCTGAGACGCGAGATGCCTCAGTATATGAGGTCAGGAGGGGTAAGAACTAGCTCGGTACTAACGAGGTGTAGATGTGTCCCGGGCTGAGCGTGTTGACGCGGATCCTCCGCGGCCCGAGTTCGCATGCCATGCTTCGGCCCATCTGCAGCACTGCGGATTTACTTGAGTTGTACGAGACCCAGTTCATGTCCTGCGGTAGATGGTGAGTACGGTGCAGATGTGTCGAAGATGGTCCAAGCTCACGCGGTTGGTCAGTGAGCCGCTCATGCTTGCGATGAGGATGATGCTACCGCCATTCCCGAAGCGCGCCATCTGCCTTCCTGCCGCTTGTGCAGTATGCAATACACCATGTACGTTCACATCAAAAACCTGTGCAATCGCATCAGCGTCCGCTCCATGTATCTGTCGCCAACTGCAAACCATACCTCGTGCATCTCCTCAGTATCATACCCAAGAACGTCCTTCTCAGGCCTCAAGATCCCAGCCGCAGCAACACAAACGTCCATCCTGCCCTCCTCGTTCCCAATCGCTTCGCCCAACTTCCACATCTCCTGCTGGTCAACGACGTTCGCCTTCCTATACACCACGCTCCCAACAGGCCCGCCACCAAGAGCTTCCGCATCGGCATCTTTACTCTCGCGGATGGAGTCCAAGTACGACTCGACCGCCTTGAACTCCGCACCGGGCGATGGTGCCAGGTCGACACAGTACACTTTCGCGCCCGCTTCAGCGAGTGCTAAGCCCATCTCGAGTCCTAATCCGCGATTCGCGCCAGAGACAAGCGCGACGCGGCCTTGGAGGCTGAAACTCTCGGCGAGCGTCGGACGAGGCGGAGATGAGACGCCATGGGGCGGCGCGGACTTTGCGTGCGCGCGCGAGGCGTAAGCTAGTGCTGTCGCAACTCCTGGAAGTGGAGATGGCGGGGTGCCCTTTGACAAGCGAGTAGATGTCGTCGCGAAAGCACGCGCGGTGAATCGCCGGGCGGGACGTGCAAGGGGTCTGTTCAGCATCGTTGAACGTTGATGGGTGTAGATTGCGCAGCAACGCGTATGAAGATGGTAGCTTGAGCTTGACGCCGCAAGTTCGAACTTGAACTTGTAAAGACGTAGTGGCCCACGTCTGGGGGAAGATATACCCCACGCCCTGGGGTCAGCTGGGACAAGGTCATATGTTCGCCTGGGATCACCTGTCGCGCAGTAGCAACCTCGATGCCCAGATCATTACAGCCAGAAGCTGGGAAGGTGGTGCGGGAGCCCGCGTTAGATTGACATGAGTTTGCTGTAGGACGTACGAAGGGTTGAGGTAGGGGTGGAGGTTGATGCGAGGATATAGCTCGAGGAGCCCCTGTCTCTGCGCAGTGGTCACAAGGATAACTTGAAGAACCATATACAGCCTTTGTATTGCTGAGATCAGACATTCGGAGCTAGAGCGCGTCGGTACGAACCGTAGACGATGTACAACGGACGTACACATCAGTAAACGGAGCGCCGACCGAGCGAAAGCGTAACACCGCCGATGTCGAGACTGTATAGCGAGAAGCCCGGATATATCGCAAAATAGCTCGAGCGTGAGGTTGCGAGGCCAAGAACGTGAAATGGAGTCTCAAGGAGATGAGATAGCGGCCGGATGGCGCAGATAGAAGCAAGGCGGATGCCGCTTACGTGCATTGAGTCTTCCGGCGTGTAGTGGCGCATTATCTGCACGAAGACGTATTCGGCGATGACCCGTACCAGAAGGGATTGAATGGAGTGAACATGTGAGTGCGGAGATGAAGAGCGTGATCTTGTACAACATTCGTATGATATTCAATAACGTAGTCTACAGAACGTCTCGTCAGCCCCGGGAGGTAAGTACATGATGAAGAAAAGAGCGCACCATACAGTATAATCACAACAGCCGGTATAGTTACAGGGTAAGATGATCGATTCATTGAAGCGCATTGAACTCAGGCGGGCGTGGCAGCCGTCTTATGAGGCGCGGGTAGCCACACAAAAGGCATCAATGCCGCCGCCGTGCGCCCACCCAGTCGGCGAATAGCAGTCGCTCCCCAGTATGCTGAAGGTGCGCGCCCATGTGCCGTATGTGTAATGCTGGTAGCATGACGCTGGCCATCAAGCTCGATTACGAGAATAGCTTCGGTCGTCTGTGAAGTAAGCGCCACACGTCAGTCCTGTTCAGGGTTTCACGTGGGAGAGAAGGAAGTGAAACGTACATGATGCACGCCGAATATTACGTGCGCAATCCGCATCCATAGAACGACTCGCTGAGTCTCCGTTGCAGCCGATAGTACACGGTGCGCCACCACAGAAGCACGGGTACCCGGTGCGGCACGGGCGATACGGAACATCGCGCCGATCTCCGCTTGTCCTCTGGCACGCGCCCAAGTATCGTCGTATAATGCATGCGGTGCAATCCAAGTCGAGAGACGGGCCAATGTTGCGCGGCCCTCGTACAGCTAAAATACAACTGAGCGATGACATCTAAACTTATTGGACTGAAACATACCTCGATGACATTATCGACCACATCCTTATGAACATCATCCGCGCTCTGAACCATCAGAATCGGTGGCAGGCGCTCAGGCGGCGCACTCTTCGCTCGCTCGAGTCCAAGTTGATGTGAATGAGATTCGGCGGACAAGCGCTTCTCGCGCATCGGATCGACGCCGGAGTAGTGTGCGCCACCCGCGACTGCTTCTACAAGATTAGGGCCAGGCATTGGCATGCTCAGGCGCAAGTGCGCTTTGTGGAATGTTTGCGTCGGCATATCGGGATTCCGGGCAGAAGCCGGGGCTGTCCTCGTGCGGTGCAGCATCGTTGGGATGTGGGGATGGCGGTTCGGAGTCAAGTCATAAAGCTCGTGAATAGTATGGGTTGCATGGCCGGAGCGTGTCTTGATAGCCTTCTTTCAGCTGTGGCGGCACGGAGGCAAGCGCTGATGACTGTCGGCAGGAGACGCGGGTCGCGTCATTCGAGATGACACGCTTCCCGTGAATTAACGCGATCACGGCAATTGCCGCTTTGTCTGAGTACAAATGTGCCATTGCGAGTTGTCGTCAACTGCGACTATATATATGTTAGAAGCAGACCAGAGTTTGGTTGCTTCTCGTATGCACAAGGATCAACGACACCGGCGAATGTGCTGAAGCCTCCAATCACAGACGAATTACACAGCCTCAGGCCTCAGGCTCTTCGGTCTTCGCGAATCGCGCCCGTGGATTGATTGCCCACGGCGGCGGAATTGCATCAACGACAACCCTCTCAGACGTCGCACGAACCTCAGCGGCCCGAGTCCGATAGGCAACCAAAGTGTCCCTGATGGCGGTTTCGTTGGTCGTACTACGACGTAAATGGCAAACCTACCACCAGCGGTGTTGATCAATGAAGGGACGTTGCTTAAGAGATATAGGTATTTACCACGAAGGCGATAGTGACCACCAAGGCCAGAACAAATACGTTGGTGTAGAATGGGAAATGAAATGTCATTCGTCCGATCACACATTATGATACTGTGCAACAAGAAGGATCCATCGTCGCCGCGAGGCGCTCGACAGCGTCTTCCCACTGTTCCCTCTCCTTCTTGTCAGTCTGGTCCTCGTCATGCTTCCAGCCCGGCATATCCGCGAGGTCCTTCGCGCGAGCAGCCCTACGAGACTTTCGGGCGTCACCGGAACCTGGACGCCAGCGCCAGGCATCGACCATGTCCTCCTGCAGCGCCCCCTCCAGGAGCTCAACGACGTGTTTCCCGATCTGTGTAATCTATATCAGCAAGATACGACATCGAACTCAGATGCAACTCACGATTGGAAGGAGCTTGAAGGAGTGTCCACTATCCCCGGTTGCAAGGATGAAGTTCTTCCATTTCGGATGCTCACAAATGAGCAAGTTCGCGTCTGCCGTGTCGGTGCACCAGCACAACGATCGGTTGAACAGCGGCCTATCCTTGAATCGCGGAAGATATGTAGCGATTGCCTTGCGTATTGTGACTTCGCTCGCATCAGGGTACGTATCGGTGGGGTGCTTGGCATGTGAGCGAGGGACAGATACAGGTTTGGGTCCGGAGGCGCCATATGGCTGATGCATCTTGTAACGGGTGAAGCCTGGGAACTCATCGCAGACCTTAATCACGCCGTATCTGGAACGAGGTTAGTTAGTGTTCAAGGGCGTACAGTTCAGCACATACTCGTTAGGTTCGAAGAAGAAGCCGAGATCCTCGTTATAGACCACGGGGCATCCAGCGTACTCCTTGACTTCCTCGGGTGTAAGCTGTAGATGCGCATATACCCAGGCCTAGGAGGATCACATCAAGATCATCTCAATCATATATGCGGAGGATGTTGGTTACCTTAGAACAGCACTGCTCCTCAAGATCTACAAGTACTGGAGACCAAGCACCCGTCGCCAGCACTACCCTATCCGCCAAGTACCTTGTGCCATCCTTTGCGACGGCGCCTAGGCAGCTTTGTCCATCATCCGACAGGATGAGACTATCGAAAGCGCCAGAGCTGCGATATCTCAGTCAGCCACAGAGACAGTATGGAGAAGAAGACGCGTGCACTGACTCGCCAAAGCTGAACTTGATGCCATGACTTGCCAGCTCCCGACCGACGGAGTCGATTGCCTTTGCAGCGGCTAGCCAGCCGCCACTCTTGAAGTAAAGGCCTTTCCAACCCTATCCAGCATAGTATCAGCTTTGCTTCCCTGCTGCGTGCAAGAGGGCGTCGATGCATACTTGGATCTGATCGCGCGAAAGCAGAGGAACGCGATTCAGAATGGCGTCTTCATTATCCAGCCACTCGACGGTATCGCCGAGACCATTATCTTCAAGTTTCTTCACGGTCTTCCTCAAATCCTCAATACCTTCTTCCGAACCGCAGCAATCGAGCTATCGTCAAAGCCTCAATCAACAATCTGCTTCCGCAGCCAGTCTCACAGATAACCAACCCGACCCGTGCGATGATAGTAAGGCGAGAACGTCGGATCGTTAGACCACATATCCTCCGCCTCAAGACTGAGCTGCTTGTCGACAGAGTTGCGTAGACTGGTGCCCATGATCTTGTTCAGGTCATTGCCAGCGCTTTGCGCGCTGGGAATGGGGTACACGTCTAGAACGCGAACATTGCGGTATCCTTTACGTGCAAGATGTAGCGCAGTCGAGCTTCCGATTGTACCACCACCGCCAAAGACCAGGATCGACGAGTCCAGAGAGATGGCCATGTGAGCTATCGTCTAATCTGCAGTTGGAGCCTGAGCAGGGTAAGATAACCGCGGAGGTGGTCGAAAGCAAGACGCACCCGGTCGAAGGCCGGATGATAAGTTGATCGACGGAAGTTGCCGAGTCGCCCCTGGCCCGAGAGCCCGAGGCCAGCCCGCGGTCGAAAGTCTACAGGTGTTCAAATAGCAAACAGTGCAGTATATATGTATAGATAACATAGTGCAGGAAGAACGGGATACAGCGGCATAGCGTAGAGATGCAGGGAGCGATTTACACGACAAGATGTGATGGAAAGATACAACAAGCGTATGCACGGGACTATAGGAGAGCATATACGACAAGAAAACATTCCATCGGATGATGGTATAGAATGATACTATGGAGGCACAGCGTCATCGCTGGTGCCAAGGTCACTCGCCAGCAGCGCGTCCGAGCTGAACTCGTCCATCCCTCTCCAATATAACTCCTCTTCGTCTTCGACAGGAGGTTCCTGAGAGGACTCTTCGGAAGGCACGGCAGCGTCCGAGGATTGTTGTGCGGCGGCGACATCCAGGGACTCGACATCGCGCAGGCCTTCGTGTGGACGCGCAGTAGATGTAGAAGGGCGTTGCGAGACCGGTGGTACTAGAGATGGGTTGAACGTATCGATGTCATCGGCCAACAGTTCGACGCCTCGTTGTGTGACGATAAAGTCCGTTGACGATGGAGGCGAGACGGTGCTGAACAATATCGACAGTCTGCGGATGAGAATGTCATCATCCGACGCGGCGACAACCGGGGGCCGCCCAGAACTGTCGGATATTCTCGGGCGTTTGGGTCCTGCGCCTTCGACCATACGCCTCCGATTCGTCCTGGTCAACATGATACGAGCGTTGACTTGGTTGGCCCAGACCAGACCAAGAGCTGCCTTCTTCCTTTGCTCAGCGGCGACGCTGTTGCCGCTGCTGAACAGCTTGGCCTGTTCGGCATAGACGAGCTCGTGGGCAGTGCCTTGCGCTGCGGTATACTCAAATACGTCGACGACGCGATTGAGCACAACCACCGCCAGGCCATATTGAGATGCAAGGCCGTGGAGGAGGGCAGATATCTCTCCCAAGCCGCGGGACCGTTCGGCGAGTTGTGAAGTTGTGGTTTTGCCGTCTTCGCTAAACAGGTCGGCGAGAACGTCGATCACAAGCAGTTTCACTGGCATGGTGCGGCGCTTATCCGCCAGCAAAGCCGGCAGTTGAGCGGCTAGTACCGTCTTGAGGTACTCCGAGGATTTGGTGGCCAACGTAGTGATGTTCTCGAGAGCATTGATGCGCAAGTTGCGGAAAGCAGGATGTTCAGAATATATCTCGACAAGACGAGGAGTGGGAAGCCCGGAGTAGGTGGTGAGGTAGCATGTAGAGCCAGATAGCCCTTTCAGATGTGATGGGAGTTGGACGCAGAGGGATAGCTGCAGCGCAAGTTGGGTCTTTCCGGACGCACTGAGACACCGAGTGTGAGGATCGTTCGGACATTTAGAGAGGATAAGTCGTACCCTTCGCCAACAATCTCCCAAAGCATGCCTGTCCTTATTCCTCCTCCAAGCATCTTGTCCAAAGTGTCATCTCCGGTAGTGAAACATGAGGGTTCCTGGGGGATATCCGAAAGTCGTCGAGGTGGTTTCGTGATTGCACTCGACGCCATATCCAGCATCTCATTCGCCTCTCGCACGCCAACACGACATTTCTTGGCTATGTCCTGTGGCATAGACAGGAATAGATCAAGTACTGTCTCATATCCACCTACAAGTACGTCTCAGTCTCCGTTGCTCTCCGAATATGCTGATACACGTACCTCTACGGAAAGCCGCATGCTGATTTGGTGAGAAAAGCGGAATATCCGCTAGTGCATACTGTTCGCTCATAGGCTGCCTAATCCACACATGCTGAGCGTCCTGCAGTAAACGCGAGGCAGACGGAAGTAGGAACGAGCGAGACGGTGGCAACTCAGGATGACGATGCTGTGGCTGAGCGGGCTTGTTGACCGTGACGGAACGCGTTGTCACGTTGACTCGGATTCGGTTCTCCGCGCCGAATATTCTCAGATGTCCTGGACTCTGGTCCTCCCTCTGCCATACCTACTTCTATACTCGAGCTATCACTGTTACACCTTCGAAAAATGTACAAGTTGTCCCTTCAGCGCTCAATATCTCAGCCAAGCTTAATGCTACTCAAAAAGACGCCGTATACATCAAGAACTCGGAGGACGATATCGTCCTCCGGGCCATCATCGATGATGGCCCGGCGCACGGCCATGATGGGGGATGTCCTGCGCATGTTCATTCCTTCGACCAGACCAGTTGACATAATAGCTTGTGCGACTTCCAATCCGCGCGTTGACACTCTGCGGAGCAGTACTTCATCTAGACGGCGCGGCTATTAGACAGGGTTCGAGCTGAGGAAGAGGGTCCGTCGTACCACATGACATTTCGAGCACGTTTTGAGGTTTCCACTATCCTTGCCACTTGTCCTGGAGCAACGTCCGCATTTGCCAGCGATAACCTTCTCGGTCATGGACGAGAGAGAAGAGAAGTCCCTCAGCGGCTCGAGATAGGAGACGGAGAAGATAGGGCTGATCGCGATGCGAGTTACATGCGGTGCAAGCTCCCTCAACGCCGGTCGTGTGAGCATCATACTGCCCTCGACATCTTTCCCGCGACCGCAACTACACAGTGGATCCTGCGCCTTCTCGGTGCTGAGCGGTATGCGGCCTACAGCGACGTACTCGCAGTTGGCCGTATGTTCCCATGTGCGACAGCGCTCAGCAAAAGCGGGGAATAGTCTCTTCCATACTTCGCCCTCGCCCGGATAGATCTTGATGTTCATAATGCCACGGCCCTCAGGTGCGCGCATCAGAGCGTTGTGTATGCGAGGGGCGAGTTCGCGTGTAAGCGGCAAAACGTAGGCGTGGCAGACGACCGTTGCAGATCCAAGGTCATGTCGTAGACTATCGACAAATAGCACGGTATCGGAGAAGTTCTGAGATGATTCGTCCAGAAGTTGGAAAACGCGATGCGGTGTATTCTGCTCAGCGCCGGCGACATGGCTGAATAGGGCGTGGATGGTATCCTTGATGAACATCAAGACGTCGTTCCCGGAGCGCTCGCGCAAGGACATCTCACGCGCGGACATCGCTAAAGAGACGTGCGGCCGCAACCAACTAACGAGTGGCGCGGAGGGCTTTGGGATGTCGATGCGTGGAAGGTCTGAAAGATTGACACGATGGACGTTCCATGGATATGTCGATCCTTGTGACTGCGAGTGAACGACCGGAAACCGACAGATGGCCATACCATCTCTTTGCAAGCCACCGGATAACGCTAACACAACCTATGTGCTCATCTGAGATATATAGGATAGACTTTGACAGACGACGTACTTCGACATAACATGATTTGCGTGCAATCCTGAGTTTGTGGTTGTGAACAACGACAGGGTATGGGAAGAGGACGTCCTGGGTGCGGCCAGCGAGACTGATGCGCACGGTACAAGGCGAGGATTGAGAGATGATGGGGTTTGCGCCTGCGGTCTGGAAAGCTAGCTTCGCATTGCGTTCATCGACAGATACACGTCCAACGAGTTTCTTCACACGATCTGACTCCTCGTTGAGCTGAACGAAGACTGATGATGTTCCCAGGTTTGGACACGACTGTGGCGGCGGCGACCGAGATGAGGTCGAGGAGTGGGTAGGATAATGATGCTGTCCCGCTGTAGGATCCACAGAGGACGTCACTGGAAGGACATGCACTTGTGTACCGTCCATCAACGGGGCTTGATGAACGACGAGTGCTTGCCCGAGTTTTGGGCTCAGGAAGGCGGTTATGCTGGTCATGCGGACGGCAAAGGCGACCGCCACGTCCTCCGGCTTGTTGAGTATGGTCAGGTGCTTTGTGGAGACGATGAAGGAGACAAGGAGAGGGTCCTCGCCCAGCCATCCTCTGGGATCTTCGCGTATGGTGAGTCCAGGACGAGTGGGGTTGCCGGTGGGCGTTGCTGTCCCGAACACGACATGAATAGAGGCGAAAACATTGATATTTGACTTCGTCAGAAGCAGGCCGTGCACAGGTGGTGTCGAAGCCGCCGCCGCTGCCAGGGTATCGAACGGATTGGCATTGCCCGTCTTTCCTGTGTTCTCGAAGACCTTGAGCTTCGCCCGAGGTACGACGAGTATGACTCGCGCAAGATCTGGGACATGATCCCAAGACGCGAAACGTCCGATACGTGGTGATTCAATGTGAAATATGTCAACTGCGCAAAGACCAAGACGAAAAAGATGCATGTATAGCTCCTGCATGTGCAGACCGGCCGTAGACATAGGGTTGAACGAGTCGTGCAAGAGCTTGAGAAACGCCTGGAGGGTCTGTGTCCGACGATTCGCGTCTAGCCTGTGCTTGTCGCAAATGACTTTCACGAGAAGGGAGAAAGTCTCGCGTGTATATTGCGTTTCTTGAGTGTTCTTCAACACTTCGCGAGGGTTTTTGAGCATCCGCTCGCCGATGGGGCCAAGTTCGTTCCTGTCAAATAGCTAGGACCTACATTAGTACAATGACGAGTGATGGAACCTTGTCAACTCACCTCACGGTAAAGCGCATAGAATAATGACGCGAACTGACGATCATCAAACACGGCAAGACTGTGACCAGACAGCATGTCGCCAGATGTAGGACGTCTCCACGTCAACCCTTGCTGGAACTGTCGATTATCTCCGAACTCGTCTCGAAACGTGTTTAAGAACACGACCTCATCGACGTTGGAACGAGTGGTAAACCCAGATAGATAGTCCGCTGGGCATAAATTTAACAACAACGCCAGGGTCGGGAAGTCAGTTCTTAGGAGTTTCAGTGCGTATTCTTCTGCATCGGTCCCGGCGGCAGCAGTCAAAGCTTCGGTATATAGCACGCTGTGGCATGAGGCTAGGAGAGGCTCGGCGACAATGAGCAGATTTAGTAGCCCGAGATGATCGTTCAAGTTGGAGGTGTCGATGACGTCAAAGGTGGTAGGCGCATCTCCCTTCGCGTAGTCGAGACTATCGAAGCGAATGGGCTTTGCCGACCATTGCGCGTACAAGAAGCCAGGTTCGCTTCTTCCGGTCTCAGCGAAGGCCCGCAAAGAAGACGACACAGCCAGTGCATCGCCCCATATCAAGCGTACGACAGGTGCATGCTCCCCGGCGCTAGCCACTCGGAACGCGGTACACCACGTCGCAAATTGGTCTTTCGCTAAACGTACGACCTGTGCGACGGTCGGTGAACTTTTTCCACCGTCAAACGCGGGGGCAAGATGGAAGGGGGTGATAGGACATTGGCCGTAGTGCAATGAAGTCGCTTCTTCTCCTCGAGAGTAGATGAACGTAGGGTTGAGGAACGTCGCTTTGCTCGTGCTGGTGCCCGCACTGACGCCGGACTTCCAGAACTGTTTGAAGACGGCAGTCATAGTTTCGGCAGCACGCGGTCCCATCGGCCCAGCCCCGCGGGAGAACATGATGCCAGAGTTCTCCTCGACCACTGTCTGACAATGAACCCGAAATTTGGTGGTAAGGGCCTCGTAACGAACATCGGGGAGTTCGTACATGTCCACATAGCTCTGCCAAAAGCGGCATACCTCAGCAAGAGTATGATCCGTGCTGAACCGGATGACCCCGAAGTACGAAGAGGCACGCCATGTCTGAGGAGTTTTTGCTAGCGCGATGAGTCGTCGGCATTGGGATACGAGCAGATCCTTCGAATCTTGGTCCAGATACGTGTGATAGAATATGTTCCATAGCAGATCCTGAGGCCCGTCATCGAGGATCAACGAGAGTTGGAGCGCATTACGAGCTAGGCTAGTAGTGTAAGATACAGACTCAATATGCGATCATGAGATTACGTACCGAGGACTCCGAGGTCCCAGTCACAGCAAGTGAAGTCGAGCTTGCGCGACACTGTAAAGAGTGTTAGATGCCAGGAGCATGGGACAACGAGTGCAATATACCTTGTCTGTCGCAGAGCACCGTATAGAGGACGTTCCTAGGGTCACCGCAGCCCAAAAGCAGAAAAGAGGCCGGGAGGCGTGGGGGGATATCGCGAGTGAGGGAGATCGCGGGGGTGTTTCCCAGAGGATAGAAGAAGTACTTGTTCGGCCAGTGCAGTTGAGATGCCATGCCGAAGACTGGAGGCCTTCACGCGTCCATCGTTTGGTCTGGTTGTTATACTGCCGTACAGGCGCTCGCAGAATATCCGGTGCGCCTCGTTGCAGCCTCGTGTTGTAGGAGCGAAGCAGATCGGGACGGATGTTTGGGATACAGTAAGCTACAGGATGGTTTATCGTGTGCCAATATGGGATGACACCTGAGACACCCTCTGTAGCCTTCTGTCAGAATTCCTAGCATCTGTTGTTCCTAATCGACCGATACGGGATTCCGTAGTCCCCAGTGGTGCACTTTTCGGCCGGAACTCCCTCGCCATTACCCTTCAGGCCTCAGGCCTCACGGTATACCAGGAGAGGTAGCTCCGTCATCCAACTATACGATTCTGACCAGAAGACGTCGGCCCGGCAGGACGTAGTGGTTCGTCCACTACCGATAGTTCACCCCACCGGAGGGACCGCACGAGATAATGTTCCCATGCATGGTGATGATTTGTTGCATCCGATGATTGTACACCCAGGGATACGTTCTGGTACAAGTCTGAGATGATGGTTAGAACGCGAGCCTGCCACGTCCGCCGCGCGTCGCTCGGGCCGCATGATCCGACTGGTCTATTTTGTGCATGACGTCACGCGTCTGCATGCTGATGGGCTTCCGTGCAAAAAATACTTACGGGGGCTTGGAACTCAGTATCGTGGGCAGTCATCTGGTAGTCGTAGTTATGCTATAGTAGGTACGGCATCCAAGATATGATCCTACAGAGTATACAACTGGTCCCGTCAACTTTGGCCAAACTCGTTTCGGCACGTTCAAGACTTGGATGCGGTCGGCCGGCACGACATCTTATGCGTCTTCCAGTCTGCACGCTGGCATTCCGCTGAGCAGTACTTGTACTGGCGATCTACGTGAGCAAAAGACAAAGAGACAAGCTAGGGGCATGACGTACAACGTGACACCTCGAACAGGTTTTGAGAGCCCCGCCGTCTTTTCCACCAGTTTTCGAGCATCGTGCACATTTGGTTGCCAGATCTTTGCCGCCTGCAGGTGTCGACGTAGAGAGATCACGAAGCGGTTCGAGGTATGGAACTGAGAAGAGCGGGCTGATGGCTATGCGGGTAACAAGCGGGACGAGCTTCTTCCAGGCCGGACGTGCCATAACGCTACTGTCTTCGATGCCTTGACCACGTCCACAAGCACAGAGCGGATTACACTCCCTCTCGGTGCTGAGCGGTATGCGCTTCTGAGTTACGTATTCGCAGTTGGCCGTATGTTCCCACGTCCGACAACGCTCGGCAAAGGCTGGCATGAGTCGCTTCCACAGTTCGGGCTCGCCATCGTATATCTTGACATGGACGACCTCTTCACCACCAGATCGCAAGATATCCCCCATACCCGCCGTGATGGTATCATTCACAGACGGGTGAAGATGCATGAAGAAGGCGTCGCAAACAACGGTGTATGAGGCTAGATCGTATCGCAGCTTATCGACGAAGAGAACCATGTCGCAGTAGTCGCCGTCCATGAGCTGGAAGATATGCTTCGGGGGACCTTTCGCGCCACTGGCATGGTAGTAAAGAGAGTGCATGGTGTCCTTGATAGACATCAACGCGTTATGGGCCTTCCGTGAGCGTAAATCGAGCTCTCGCGCTGACAACGCGAGGCTGACGTGAGAGTTCAACCAAGCCCAGATTGACGCCGAACTTTGAGTGGTGTTGACAACCGGCAGCGCGGTCAGGCCAATGCGATGAATGTTCCACGGATAGGGCTTGTTGGTGGTCGGCGAGCGAGCGACTGCGAAGCGGTCTATAGCCATACCGTCTGGCCGTAAGCCTCCAGATAAAGGCGCCACCACCTGAAATCACCATCAGCATCGGTGAAGCACTACTCAGTGATCATGGATGGGCACCTCGACGTACGACGATTTGCGCGCCATCTTGATCTTGTGCTGCGAGCCCACAACGGGAAATGGGAACACAACATCCTGACGGCGATCGGCGAAATCGACGCGCAGAACACAGGGCGCAACTTGAGTGATATCTGGAATTGACTTGGAGGACTGCAAGATCGTCTTTGCTTCTTCCACAGTGACGGACACTCGGCATGTGAGCGCCGTGATACGCTTTGCCATCTCGTCTATCTGCGCAGAGGCGGTAGAGGACTGTCCAAGTTCCTGCAGAGGGCTGGATTCAAGAGCTGTTCGGCTCTCTGGCGTGCGCGTACTGAAGGGCGGTCGAGGACTATGCCTTGTTTCCTCAGGGAACACGAAAACCTGCGCCTCGTCCATAAAGCTGGCCTCGTGTATCATCAATCTGGGCCCAAGTTTGAAGAGAAGCTTGGTGGTAACCGGCGTTGCGCGAAGTGTGAAGCACACGCGTACGTCTTCCGCTTTGTTGAGCACGGTCAAAAGCCGCGTCGAGATAACGAACGACACGAGTAGCGGGTCCTTGCCTTTCGACCCTGACGAATCGGCACGAATTGATGGAATTGGTGCAGTTGGTGTGCCGCCATTGGAGATTTGACCGTATACGAGATGGATGGAAGAGAAGATGGAGTTACTGCGCGGCGTCAAGATCTGGCACTCGATGGGAGGAGTCGGATTATTCCCACTCGACGCGCCATTCAACACGTCGAGCTTGGAGCGAGGCACCACGAGTGTGAGGCGCACGAGATCCGGTACGCTGGACCATCTGGCAAATCGTGCCGTTCGAGGGTTCGGCATCTTGAAGACATCGACAGTATAGAGCCCATGGCGGTAGAGTTGCAGATACAAGTCCTGTACATAAAGCGCATCGATGGGGTTGTGGTCCAAATCCGGTGTCTGGAGGTCAAGGAATAAATCGATGACTTTATGCCGGCGCGCGGGATCGAATTCAAGCCTATCACAAACGAGTTTGGTGAAGAGCGCAAAGGACTCGCGAGTGTAGTGTTCGGTGACGGAGCTCGACTGTTGCGCAGTTCGGTTCATGAGCGCCTTGATCTCATATTTGCTGAAAAGCTGCACGTCCGTCAGTGGGTATTGTCCGCAAGGGATAAGCAAACTTGCTCACCGCTTGATACAGCTGGTACAATACGGTCGCTAGTTTTCCGTCCTCAACGATCAAGGACGAGGCGCCGACCGCGAGAGCATCTCCTGAGGCAGGTCGTTTCCAGGTCAACCCTTGCTGCAGTTGACGGGGCATCCCATCTGCGTCATGTGCCCGCATTGAGCTCAGAGCGAGGATGCCGTCTACGAACGACCGACTTGTGAAACCAGACAGATAATCGACCGGGCACAGGTCCATCATCACAGCCATCGTCGGGAGGTCTCCGACAAGTAATGACGAAACGTATTTAGCCGGGTCGCTGCTCACGTCGAAGAGAAGGGTCTCCGTGTACAGAACGCCGCACGGAGAAGCGAGGAGTGGTGTTGTGGAAGAGAGAATGTTGAGCAGCCCGATGTGATCAGTGAGGTTGGATGTATCGACAACGTTAAAGGACGTGGGCGCGTCGCCATCCCTATAATCTGCCGCGTTCAGACAAATCCGCTCGGCGGACCATTGTGCATGCGGCACTCCTGTATCAAGCGTCCCGGTCTCTTTCAGGACGCGCAGCGCGCTCGACAAGGCCAAGGCATCCCCCACATGTAATCGAATGACAGGTGGATTAGCGCGTGCGCTCGCAGTGCGGTATGCTGAGCACCACGCAGCAAACTGTTCCTTAACATCGCGCACGACATCTTCCGGCGGGGGCCTGTTGTTCGGTGCGTTGCCGAAAACAGCGGCCAGATGGAACGGCGCTATCGGATCTAGGCCGTAGTGGACCGCTGTTGCGTCCTCTCCGCGCGAGAACACGAAGGTGGGGTTCGCAATGTTGGCCGAGCGCGCTTCGACGTCATTCGCGAGCGTGCCTTTCTCCCAATACCTGTTGAGTATAGTTGCACATATGTCCGAGGCAAACGCGCCGAGCGGACCAGCCGAATGCGGTACATGCACGCCATTTTGCTGCGATCGTATGCTCTTGTGATGTGCGCGGAATTTGGTGACGAGCGCATCGTATCGCGGTTTGGGCAACTCGCCCATGTCGGCGTAGAGCTGCCAGAAGCGGCGTAACTCTGCAAGTGTGTGGTCGGTGCTGAAACGTATCGAGGCGCCATATTTTGAGACTCTCCAGGTGTCGAGTGACTCCGCCAGCGCGATTAACTGACGACATTGTGATTGGAGAAGGGCATTGGACCCCTTGTCGAGGTAGATGTGGAAGAAGATACTCCAAAGTTGATCTTGAGGCTTGTCATCCGATATCAGGGAGAGCAGCAAGACGTTACGCGCTGCGAGAATACGATGTATAAGCGAGTGGGTGCACGCTGATGACCATGATACGCACCGAGTACTCCTGGGTCCCAATCGCAGCAAGTAAAGTCCAGCCCACGCGCAGCTGCGTCTGCATCAGCATCACAGTTCCTTGTATTACTCGTAACAGCGCACCATCACCTTCGCAGAAGACTGTATACAGCACGTTCCTGGGGTCCCCGCAGCCTAAAAGCAATAGGGACGCCGGTTCGCGAGGAGGGAGGTCGCGCGTGAGGCAAACGGCGGAAGTATTGCCAAATGGATAGAAGTAGTACTTGTTCGGCCAATGGGTCTGATACGCCATGGCTGCGGGGAAAGCGCTGCTAGGTGATGTTCGTTACTGGAAGCACGCTTGGGCGGGCGTCTATCAAGGCAGCCTCGCCGAAGCCTCGCGGTCCAAGTCGTGGCATATCGAAGGTCGTTCTGAGGCAAGGACTGGTACCCTCGAGGGCGCTTCGTGATTCGATAGTGAAGGACATATCATTGGGATAGTGGAGCTACACCATGGATGATGATGGTTTGTATGCAACTCTGAGAAACAGGGCGGAGCGTTCGGCATCGCCTACATAGCGGTCCTTGTAACCCTGGGTACATACTTGCTTCATTCTATAAGCAGAACTAGGTAGCGTGGCCGAGTGGTTCAAGGCGTTGGATTTAAGTTTCTTGGATCCCAATATTCGAAAGAATGCGCGAGTTCGAACCTCGCCGCTACCATGATGAACGATCGTTGGCGTCATTTTTACATGCGCAACAACTCGATCCTAATTGCACCCATCAAATGCAATCCTTCTTGCGGGAGAGTAGACAAGATAAACTGATGAATGTAGAGGTACGTGGTACTCATTGCGTCCGCAATTAACAGTATCTGATTTTTACGCGAATTGCCTTCACCATGCGGTGTCAGGCGTATCCCAAGTCCGACTATCCATCACCCATGAGACGCATGCGTCCAAGCGGTGGTGTCACTCGGTGTCTAGAATCAATCAAACAGCAAACCGCTGCTTTCGAGAGGTGCGTGCAGAGACGGCCCCTAGGCCAAGAGTTCAAAGGTTCAACAAAGATCATCAATATTTGTACGGAGATACATAGACAAGCGCCGATACAAGATGTAAGCGGAGAGCAGAACTACTACCTATCAGGCGCTGCTCGTTGGAAGAGCACGGGGGTGACGCTGATGAAAAGGATCAGGACACGGTGTAAAAGGAGAGAATATGAGACGTACTTCACGCAAATGAGAGCGTATAAACAGCACAAAAAGATGGGCATGTGGACGAGTACGGATGGTGATGCGAAGCACGAGAAGCCTAATAGCGATTCAGTCCAAGATACTGCACCATGTGTCGAGTACTCACCAGATGATATCGCGTGGATCTTGACGGTGGAAAAGCTGGACCGAAGTATAGTATGTGACCACGATCTGAAAAGTTGACGCACCAGAGTAAACCAAGAGCCCTCTAGCGTATTGTGGCGTCCGAGGTCACCACTATGGCCGCGTCTCCTGCCAATCATGATGCGAGTGGGCCTAGGGAGACGAGGCCGCGCGTACCCACATGAGACGCCCAGGGTCATGGGCGCCTCAGGCGTGAAAGACGATCGTAACAGGGAGGGGACAAGCTACGATCACCAAAGCGGATCTCCTGCATATGGTGATCGAATGTTGCCGTGCCCGTTTGCCTAAGGGAACGCCGAAGCGCACGATGTCACGAAGCCGCTCCGGGGAGCGGCGACGTTTGGGAGAGTGCCATTCCGGTCGCGCGAGCGCGAGGGATTCAACCGCTACAGTCCAGTGATGAGCTGGAGCGCGCAAGCCCATAAGAGAAGTCCTTGGCAATGAAACTCTCAGGCGAAGACGATCGTAACGGGGAGGGGACAAGCTACGGTCGCCAGAGCGGATCCTCCTGCTCTGACGACCGAATGTTGCCGTGCCCGTCCGCCCAAAGGGACGCAATAGCGCACGATGTCACGAAGCCGCTCGAAAGCGACGACGTTTGGGAAGTACCAAACCGTCCGCGCGAGCGCAGAGGGTTCTGCCGCTGCGACCACTGCTCCCACAAGGAGGTGGGTCGTGCGAGCCCATATGAGAAAATCTGGGTGAAAGACCTCTCGGGCGAAGACGATCGTAACGAGGAGAGGACAAGCTACGGTCGTTAGAGCGGATCCTCCTGCTCTGACGACCGGATGTTGCCGTGCCCGTTCGCCCAAGGGGACGCCGAAGCGCACGATGTCACGAAGCCATTCAGCAAAGAGCGGCGACGTTCGGGAAAAATGAGAGCGCTAGCGCCCAGCCAGTCCATTCGTGCTCGCACGAAGGATTCAACCGCTACAATCCAACCTCCCGCAGTTGCAAGGAGTTGAAGTCGCGGGAGCCCATGCGAAGCGTTCTTGGCCAAGAAACGCTTCAGGCTGCAGGTGTCGTAGTGGGGAGAGGACAAGCTACGGTATCGTCATGGCGGATCCTCCTGCGCATGATGAACCGAATGTTGTCGTGCCCGCTGCCCGAAGGCACGCCGAAGCGCACGATGCCATGAGCCAACCCGCGCCTCACCATCGAACTCCCAAGGGAGAGATAGTAGAGAGAGGAGCAGGACAAGAGGCGATGGAGGGAGATGGGGATTCAGACCGAGCGGCGGCAGTCGATATATATCGCGGTGTGTTGAACGTTTCAGCTGCCGTCGAGTGAGACAATGGTCGTCACGTGAGTCTGTATATCGCTGTTTCAGCATTACTTGTTTCGCGCACGCGCACAAGCAGCAGTAAGAACACGCACGCCGCCTCCTCTTGAACGATCTCCAGTACCGGTCGACCTGCAAGCTTGGGATGTTAAGTCGCGTGATCGCGACAGAGACGATTCGAGTTGCCAAGCGTTGCAGAAGCGTTTGTTGCGCACTGCGCTGAGCAGCTGATGGACTACGAAGATCGAAGCACTCTCATATGCATGTCACGACTGGACTGTGAAGTAAGGAGTGGGCCATGGCGAGGGACTAGGATTGGGTGATTGAG